CACACACAAATTGCCAACAAGCTTGTGGTTTATATATATAGAAAGCACATACAGATATATAGTCTGACGCTAGATATATATATATTTATATATATATATATATATATCATTTTTAATGCGGGGCGTTGGTTACCTTTTTGTGTGCGGCACTTTAATCAAAAAGTATTTATAATTGAATTGTTGCAATAGTTGTGCTGAAAGCTTGAGCCAAACATCACATAGATTTTAGATATTGAAAATTGAGACATGTGCCAGTATATTGTTGAAATAAATGTATATAAATCGGCCAATGTTTGAAGTCAAAGATTAATGCTGAAAGCAGAACAGATAAGCGGCAAAGTAAAAAGTGGCTTGAGCAAGGAAGTGAATAATTCTTTGCTGAAAGATTTTATTCAAATGATATAAGCAGATTTTTAAAAAATCTTAATTGCGAAATTTTGAAGAAAAAATTATCTATTGCACATTAGAAACGAAGTGTTTTAAAGAAAAAAACATTTATATAAAAAATAAAAAAAAAGCAGATTGTAAGAATGGGTTTTAGCGAGTCAAGGAGAGTAGACAAATGAATTAAAAGTTAACTCCACATATTTACATGCCTAAAGAGAATATCTAGAAAATAGATAGACAAAGCTAGTTGCCTTGCCTGCTTGTAACTTTATACACTATTATATCAGAATTGCCATTACTCAATAACTTCAATAAGAATCAGAAGCCTATAGAGAAACAAGTCAAACATTTCACAAATGCAATTAAAATATTCGAACTATCAAATGCACAAATCTTGAGCAAATATTGATATATGGTTATGTATCCAGTTGTGATTGCTGTCGCCTTGCATGTTGCCACATGTTTATTTTTTTTCTCTTTTCACACTTGCGATCAAGTTTGTTGCCTAAGTCGTTAGTATTTATGGTAGCTGTCAAACTGACGTATGGTCCGACACGCGCGTGCTTCTGTTTCAACATTCGAATAAGAACACACGAATGTGCGCGCCAATTATGCAAATCTTTGAGTCCAACAAGTGAACTGCAAACAAAACGAGATTTGCATATCGGTCAATTGTTGCACGACTTCTTTGCTTTTTTTGTGGAGCATGCGCTTAAAATAGCAAAAAAAAATGTATAAATTGGTACGAAATCAGATTCTTTTATAGACAATTTTTTTACTTTTGCTACTTTTTAATTATTTTTGTTAAACATTTTTTTACGCACTTTCAATGCCAGCGTCAGACGCCTGCGTATAAAAGTAAAAATGGCCAAGAGCCAGCCCACGCTGTAATGCTATTTTTAAACAAACAAATAAAGCAATCACTATAAATATATATATGTACATGCAACTTTTTTATGTTTTCATTTGTCAAATGTTAAAAAAACCCCAAAAATACGGATTAACCTACATAAATAACAATATTTTGAGTCAAAATTTTCAATTGAATCACAAGTACTCAACGCATTTGGTATGCAAATGCAAATATCAATAATATACATATTTATAAATATATATTTATATACACATATATATAAAAAAGTCTCTCACCCAAAGCAACTTTCATAAAAAATTAATTTTTTTTATTGTTTTGCGGTCTCTAGCAAACTGTAAAAATAATAATGTAAATATGTAAGTATAACAAAGAGAAAGAAATTCATCGCAATATTATTATGATTATTTTTCGCACTGACCTTCGCAATAGCTGCGGCACATGTTCATAAAAGGTCCGCTAGCTATGTTTACCAACTAGACTTGAACGTCTCACGTTTGCCAGTGGTTCCCAGCTGGCAATGTGGTTTTGTGGTCGCATAGCCCAGAACTAACAGCCACATAACTGGGAAGTTTTTTATGGGTTACACGAGTCGCTCTCTCTCCCTCTCTCACCTCTATCTCCGCCTGGTGTGGTTTAGTCAGAAGTTATTTGTTCTACGTATACTGCAAAATATGATATATGACATATACGGAAGAATAGTAAGTAAATTAGTATATATATCAAAATATAAGTTTGTAAAACAATTTTATAAGCCAATGAAAAGACAAAACAAATACTGAAAAAAATGAACTTCATCACAAATATATATATTAGAAAAAAATATTATTATCAATAAATATATTTAAATATATAAAATAAAAAATATTTATTACAATCAAATTTAAAATATATATGTATATACATAGACAGAAAATAAGAGGGAGCAATATACAAAAAATTGCATGAAATAATTTAATATACGGTCATCAAGCTCAAGCAGATATTTTGCCAAAATTGATTTTTCGAAAATTTGTATCTTCGGCTTATTCTTCCATGAAAAACTACTGCATTTATTGAACAAAGAGGGAATCTTAAAGATTTTGATCAGTTTGCAAATAAAACGTATTAGACATTCTAAGAAAATAAATCGCAAACAGCACTTCAATACGACACATTTATAAATTTATTTTAATGCTTGAATTAAAGTCTCGTTAACTTTTCTCAGTATATACAACCTTCCCTGGCTATTTTTAGATCAAATTTCTTTCACTATATTCGAGTTGAATAGTTCAAGCAAAGATTGCAGATAAAAGTACTGAGTGAAAAAGTTATGAGTTTAACAAAATATACATATTTTAGAATGTGGCCCCATACACACACAGTCACTCACAGACACTTACCCACATCACATTCGTTTCAGCCGGCCCCTATCATTTAGCTAAATAGTCTGGGCATCCAGGTGACAGGCAACCAAATTAATACACGTTCGGCTAACTAATGCATACAATTCGTTTAAATAATGTTTGAGCTGGCTGTAACCTTTTCTCGCGCTGACAAGTTCAGCGGCGATAAGGTTGAGAAATGAATATCCAGCGATTAGCTGGGCATCAGACAACGGGAAATAAATAAATTGGCAACGCAGTGGTGCACAGCAGCATGCGGCGTATGCGATCTAATTATACATAATTGCGCATAATTAAAATTTAATTAACACAATCAAGAGCTGCTCGCACTCGGCTCACAACATAAAACCGGCAAAACGTGTCCACTCCGCGAATGTGAATGTGAATGTCTTTTGGCCAAGTTGCGTGCGCCAACGAAGTAGTGCAATGCGAAATAAAAAACATTTCCAAGCATTTTCTTAGCGAACAACTTTTATTTCTCGGCTTTAGGTGTTAAAGTAAGAGACTAGAGCACAACGCATTTGGCCAAAAACCGAAACGAGTGCAAGTTCAGCGGCGAAAACGAGTTTCACATTTTATTTTATTTCCAATTTATTTTATTTCTATTCCCATTTTATTTGTGTTGGCCAACTCGCGTCATATATGAGGAAGTTAATGCCTGAGCACCGATTCAGTCGCTCCACACGCAAAGATCAGCGAGATGAAAACCAAAAGAAAAACTAAATAACAGTTACTATTTAGCGGACCGGCATTGGCATCGGCATCGGCATCGGCATCGGCATCGTCGTCTTTGCCTCTCCCATAAAATATGCAGTAAAATTGCTTTTCTTTAAACTTGACCAGCGGAAAATCGGGAAGGGGAGCGAGGGGCGCGCAACTGGTGTTCAAAGTGGGTCTGGGAGTGCAGCGCCTAGTCGGTTTCTGTGCTAAATTCGGTTTATTATTTAGTCAAACTGGCGTTTCAGTGTTAATGCCACCTGAACACTTGTTTTCACAGTGCCAGCGCACAGTGGGATGAAGCATGAGTAACTCGACATCAAATAAATAAGTACACAGCTGTAGCTAAGATTAAAAAAAAAGAATAATTATACATATATTCCTAAATAGAGAAAATAATTTTAATAACAAAAAATAACTATTGTGTAAATAAAGATATAAGTTTCAAATTATCATCAAATATACAAAATACTTCTTCAAGCCATTTAACAACAAAAAAAATTAAGAAGTAAAAAATAAAATTATAACAAAAGAAATGAAAATAAAAAAAGAATCTACCAAAATAAAATACAGCCTAAAAATTATTTTCAAAAATTTTAAAGAAATTCAATTTTATTATATTTTTTATTTTATAGGAAAAGTTAAAAAAAAACTTCATTTAAAGGGAATACCCAAAATTATATTTCTATATTATATTATTTTTATATATTTTGTATTGTATTATATTTCCCCATTCACATTAAATTTGTTCAACAATTTTACAATACATTTAATCACTAGTTAAATCACTGTTATTGTATGTGCACACCCATGAGGCCTGACGATGTCGTTGACCACATTAAAAAAATGAAATTCTTGCGCAAGTCTGACAATAATAAATGGATTTGTGCTGTCATTGCGACATGTGTTGGTATTTTGGACAGGCGATGCTTCGGCTGACTGTCCAACAAACAAAAACCAATTCAATTAAGTACCTTAAATAAACACAGGCAGATAGAGGGAGGCAGACATATACAGATAGGGAAAGAGAGAAGGAGATAAGTACAAGTAGTTTATAAGCGGAAATAGACTGTGACATCCGCCGAGTGCTGACAGCTTCAACTGACAGTCATGCTTGAGATCAACGTGCGCCTCTGGATCTAACACATCCGCTGGACGCTGGCCGCAAATTTAATTAGAAATCTGCACGGCTCTCGACTTGAGGCGTTTGTTAGTTCAAGGCACTCGGTTTCCGGCACAGCATAACAGAAATCAGAAAGAAAAAATAATATACATTTTCACACTATGCAATATAATTAACTAACGAAAATTTCTTTCTACTCTGCTCTTGTCATTTCAGAAAATACACACACACACAGCAGCAGCAACTCAAACTAAAAATAATAAAAAATAAAAGCAAACAGTCAGCAAAGCGTGCAAAAAAGAAAAGGAAAAGCAAAGAAAATTATCATAGTTAGCATGGAAGCTGAGGGGGCTGCGGCTGGGGGCGGGGCGCACAGTAGCTTCTAGGCTAGAACGTCGAGAAAATGATTATGACGATAATAAATTAAAGTTGCCATTAATTTAGTAACGAAAACGGCTGTAGCAGGCAGCTAGAGCCAGACGGTAGCATAATAACAATAAATAATAATTTGAAATAGGTAAAAGCGAATAGACAGAGGGGCCTCAACTGGAGCTGGAGAACTGGAGCCAGTGCAGCAGAGGCAGCAGCAGCAACAGCAGCTAGAGCTGCCCTCCAACCACAAAGCATACCATAAACAACTCTCAGCCAAGAGCAGCTCGAGCGCGTCGAGTGTGCAAATTAAAAGCGCACAGTAGCACGAAAGGAGCAGAAACAGCAACAACAACCACAGACGACAAACAACAACAACATGGAAGTGGCAACAACAAACAATCACAGTCAGAGCCATCATCATCATCATCATCATCATAATCATCTAAGTGGTGGTGCTGTCGGCAGTGGCAACAGCGTCAGCAGCGTCGGCGGTTCCCGTTCACCATTTCAGCGCGAGGTGCGTGAATGGCAACGCATCGATCCGGACACTGGCGCGCTGTTCAGCGGACGCTTGGAGGCAGATCGCTGGATAAATGGACCACTGAACAGCTATGGCAAGGTAAGAGCATAAAACTACCAAACTCAACCAAAAAGAAAAACGAAAATACACAAAAATAAAATGCCATTGCTTTCATTAAGTTTGGTCAAAGAACCAGAAGTCTTCGGCTGAGTTCTATAAAAAAACCTTTACAGAATGTCAATCAATGTGTCGGATTTATTAAATTAAATCTTTAAATAAGTCTTCAATTATTTTTCTAGCAGCTGTAGAAATTTATTTTCATATCTAATGAAGGTGACAAAGCTCAACTTTTCAGTTGACTTTTTTATAATTAAAAAAAGGCATCATTTGATAATTGGAGGAAGATACTTTTGAAATAAGTTTTTTTTACGCTTTTAAAAAAAATATCTTTAAATATATAAAATGTTAATTTTATATTATATATTTCATATATAAAAATCTTTTAAGTTTTTAAATCCTTGGCCATAGAAGGCAGATTTGGACATATACTATATTTTAAAAATTGTATTTTATGTTATAGAACATAAAAATTAAAATGAAAAGGTTAATATGGTTTTTCTCGAAGTATAGAAAATTATACTTAAAAAAATATATTTATTTTTATATATATTTATTTTTCTTTTAAACAAATTTTAATAATATAAGCTATACTTTTACCATATTGGATTACCGTTCAAATCAGTAAAAATATTCAATTTTCGTTCTCCAATTATTACACAATTTTCTCGCAGTGCATAGTGCGTTACTCGAGCGCTGATTGATGCCTAGTTGAAGGCTTAATTCCTGTAACTTTTGTTTACAGTCCGCGCTGTTGGCTTTTAGTTAAGAATGGGCAAAGAGGCATTTAAACGAAATTGAAAGGCACGCTTCAGGCTGTAGCACTATAAATGTAGAGGCGTCTACTAATTTAGTGCACTCCGCAGCGGGCTGGCCTATCTGAGTGATTGAGCTTGATTGCACAGTTTTGGCTTGGCTGCCCCTTTCGATTTTAATCAGTTAATAGATTATTTAGCTATCAAAGCGGATGATGCTGGGCCAGCCTCCAATAAAACCCATGAAAGAGTTAAGTGTACTAAATAGTTTTGTATGATTTCAAGTAAGTAAAGTAAGTAATGTTGAATATTAAATCGAAAAATTTAGAGAGAGATGTAGTTTATAAATTTTAATTATATATATTTGTAAAGAATTTCAATTATTATTTAAAAGAATTTAAACGCTCGAACTGTTCACAGAATCAGAAAGTAGTTGGACAACTTGGCTAACAACTCGCTTAAGTTGATTACAATTAAGATTTTACAGTTTTAAGCTTTATGGCAATTATCTAAGCCGAAAGATTCTATTGATGCCACTGGGCATGCGGCTCAAACCGTTAGCTACGCATAGCTAACTTGGACTTAGATATTTTGTATTCGGATGGCTGGAAGCTTTTGTGTGTCAGTCTAACTGCATCAGCTTTGACCATCTTCACTCGGCCACAATTAAACGGTCGCACGCACAAGCTGCACGCCAGATACACACGCTGTGCCACTTATTAATCGATTTGCCAGATACAACTTTTCCACAAAAAAAAAAACGAAAATTAAAAATTCTTTCGCATCAAGTCCAAGTCTGTTCAAGTATTTATTAAGTTTTTGTTTTGATTTGCTTGCTTGCCTTCCACACACACACACACGAACAAACACCTCTCTCAAGAGCTCTAGTAATTAATGCGCGCTCTTCAAATTTCACTTGTCTTTTATACATTTTGTTCGATTGCTCTAGAATTTGTCGGTTAATTATAATGGCAAACGCAGCCATAATAACAAAATTATGCTTGCTCATTGAGTACTGAAGTGTAGAGCCAGGTGCCATCGGTCGTGCGTGTGGTCAAGTCAAGTTTCTGGCTCAACAACTAGAACTAGTCTTACTATGATATATCCTATAAAACTCTGCAAGCTCTTCCCTCTCTCTCTCTCTCTCTACCTCTCTCACTCTCTCTTTAGCTATCTTTGAAGTCATGCCAATGCAATGACATCATCTTGTAGCTTACAAATGTGAACAACCTGAGTCAGTTCTTTTTTTCAGATCAGCTCAATAGGAGTTCTGATAACAATTAACAAATATAGGAAACTTTTTAAATTGCTTTTTAATCAGCTTCAAGTTGTTTTAATTGAATTTCTTTGCTCCACTTACAAATCTTAAGCTGCAAGCTCTCAACAATTTAGAGACGTGTTAAAGAATTATAAGTCTTGATTCATGTTTAAATATACAAATTATATAAACAATTTTATCATTTAAGTAACGTTTATTTTCCATCTATCAAGACCCTTCGGCGTCTCTCTTCTACTGATCCTTTGGCCGAATCATCACTTGAGCAAATTTAAGCAAATTCCTTTGCCATTTATACCAATAGAAGCCGCTGTTATAAGGTCCATTTAAATTGCTATAAATTCAAAGAAAGAATATTAAATTATGTTTCAAGTAGAAATTCCACGTTCTCACTTACCACTGATAACAATTGTTGAACCACCAGCCGGAGCTATTTTCATCAGCGCAATTTCTATTGCTATTATCATTATCCAGATCATGCGTGGAGAACTGCATGTTCAGATGAGCAGCCATGGCATCGCCGGCATCTCCTGAATAGGTGCCCAACGACTTGATTCTAAACGAATCATTGTCATCGGCAATCAGAAAATGATCGTAGCGTGCAAATCGGGTTTCGTTATTCGAATTCCGCAAATATATATATAATTCGTGGGGTTGCGAATTGGTTATTTGATTCAGTTTATCGAGTCCAATGAAGAATTCGCCACGCAAATCACCAAAGCCCTGCTGATACTCCCTCCAATTGCGATTGAAGTCAACTTTGCCATCAATGCGACGCAAAATGACGGTCCAACCAGGATCAACTAAGCTCGAGTCGCAGGACACTTGAAAGGGTGCCGCGCCAGGAAGTTTGAGCTCATGCAACTCCGTGGATTTGCATAGACAGCTGCTGGTTTGGCACTTATTGCTCGATTGCCTCAATTCACTCAGTTTCTTCTCTAGTTCCTCAATTCTCTCCTGTTCGCTGATCGTTTTGATTCTAAGCATAGCTATTAGCTCATCTTTGTTCTCCAGCTCGGATTGCAAGCTGGCTACTTGACGTTCCAGACTGGGATAGGTTTTCTGAAATAACTGTATTTAGGTGGGCGTGTTAAAAAGTTATTTATCAAAACCTACCGGCAATCTTTCACAATTGACCACATACAGAGCCGATAGCAGCAAAAAACTCAATGCAATTAAATTTTTAAACATTTTCTTGTTGTGTTTAGTCTCCGAACCGCTTGTCAAATGAAACGAATTGAAACTAATTTAGAATATAGACTAAACGTTCTATATAAACGCATGCATTGAGTCCATTTGGATTCAATTGTATAAATTAACGTTCAGTTTGTATTGTTTACAGAGAGTACATATTATTTATAAGCCTTGACTTCAACCATTTACATAAGACCTTGTGCTGAACTATGTTTAGCTAATATATATAATATATACATATGTGATGCATATTCTAATGCTAGCTGGAATTAAAAGAATTTAAGTTCTGACATATTTCAGTTGAATTAACGAACAACTTAATTTATATGGAAATATTTATATTTATTTGTATTGCTATGCTTCAATTTCTTACCATGCACGCAGCAAAATTTCTATTACCTATTTTTAAATTCCTATCTGCCTTCATGAAAATGTATGTTACGACCAAAATGTCTCATCGTCTTATAGCAGGCCTTTTTATTTTAGATATATTGAAAGAGAATATAAAGATTTAAAAAAAACTAAAATCAACAACATATATTACTTGCATTAATAAAAAACAAACTTTATTTTCAATTAAAAATAAAATTAATACAAGATTTTCAAATAATACAAATTATAATAATATAATAATAACTAAAATATATGAACTTAAAACTATATAATATTTATATATAAAGTTAAGTTAAATAAAGTTAAAGTTTTAACAAAATATAAAAATAACAGCTGCACGCAAAATTAATTTAATATATGAAGGAATCCCCTTTGAAAGGCGCAGAAAAGATATTCAAAAATAAATAAATAAATATTTTTTAGAAAAACAACTAATTTGAGATATATTTTGAACAAAACTCAAATAAATACAAAATTTTTTATATAATATATGCTATTAAAATATATATTAAATTTGATAAACGAACTCAGTTCTTTCTGCGCTTAAGCTCAGCTAATTTTAATATTTATTACAACATTTTTAAAAAGCCATAAACATTTTCATTTGACGAAAATTATTTTTTTTAAATATAAAAGGCTTTTGGCAATTCGCAGTTTATATGCCCTTTACATTACAACATATGGCTGCAGGGTATACAAAAACTTGTTGTCTTTTGCTCAACTTATCGAGATTGAACTTTGCTGCCAACTGTTGTTGGTGCTGCTGCTGCTGCTGCTGTTGTTCCCAATCGATAGAATCGAAAACAATCAAATGAATCCCATTGAAAAATAGGCAAATGAAGCTGGCCATATCCAGATCCAGTCGAAGTTAAAGTTGTTGTTGAGCCCATTTCGATGGTCAATTTAAATAGTCGCACAGTTCACAAATTTGATTGGCCGCTTGTCGAGTAGGGGAATTGATATCAATGCAAATTCTATGCCCGCTGTGTCTGTTTGCCGACAAAGTCAAAGGCAAATTTGCCGACAGGTATTCAATTGAATGGATCGCGATCTTTGATTTGTGCCAGGGCAGATGCAGCCCAGTCCAGAGCAGCAGCCAAGCACCGTTAGACGAAACTGAGCTGCGAGTCTTCATTAACATTATGGATAGTTTGTACGAAAATGTACATTTTTTTCTGCAGTCGAGAGGTGGAGCAGCTGTGGCATGTGGCAAAGCCAAGCCGAATGCAGTATAACGGTACAATCAAACAACCGATGGCAAGCAAAGTCTTTGTGGGTCACTAGGTTGCCAACAGGCAAAGACAGCCGCGCACAAGATCCATGAAGATGTTTGCTCTCAGTTGGAATTTGTTGGGCTGCTCGGCTGGCGAGCGGCTCGTAAATTACATTGCAACTAATTGAGGATGTCAACTGACGTGTATTGCTACAATTAAGCATCGCCAGTTGTTAATTTCCGGTGCACAGCTTACACACACACACAAACACACTGCATCTGCCCACAACATGGCCATGGAGCGGTCATGAACAGCGAGGGCCCACATATGATTTACTTGATATAGTCAAACAAGCTTTAAGTACTTGTACTCGCACTCGCACTTGGTACTCACATGATCATAGACGTTGTTGCTGCTCTCTATAGAGATATAAAGCCAACGAGATCGTGACAGAAATAATGCATATAAAAATGTATATTATTAGCGTTTAAGAGGCGAAGAGCTTTCGACCCAAGCATGGCCAACAAAATGGCCATTGTTAGGCAGAAACCAATTTAAAATGCACTATGCCGCACAGTGGTCTAAAATTTAAGGAAAATTCCATAATTTCAAATATAAATCAATTTGAAAAACAATTCAAATCAAAAATAAAACTTAAAAATATGTAAAATAAAATTATTCTTAATAAGTTTTTGAGCCCGTTTTACAATCAAAAAAATAAAAATTATAATATATATAATATATAAATAAAAGAAATATAAAAATAAAAATATATAATTATATGTTATAAAATGTATGTTATATACAAAATAATATTAAACAATTTATACCTAAAAATTTCTTTAAACACAAAATATTTCAAAGTAATAATTTTAAAGTAATTAAAACTATAAATTCAAAATATTTTTTAATACAATCCAAAATATAGGCAAAATTATATTTCAATATATATATACTTCCAATTTATTATAAAAAAATATATTATAAAAAAAATGAATGCCATTTTAAATTTTATTTAAAAATACTATTAATTAATCATGAATTGAATATGAATATTAATATTCTTAATATAAAGTCAATATAAAACCAAATTTAATGCATTAAATTCAAGCGATTTTTAATTCTCTAAATTAAATTGTCTAACCATTTTTTGACAGTTCCTATTTGGTTATAAAATTTCATAATCTATATAAATATATTTCAAATTTGTATACATTTTTGTACCCTTCATAACCACTGTGCAGGCAAAGTCAGTGCCAGCTAAAAATAAAAAGAGTCAACGCTTTGGCATGTCTATGCAGCGATCTGTGCAAACCCTGCCGCCAGAAAAGGCGACATGCATGCGCAGACATGGAGCATATGGCAGGCCAAAGACTGACACAGTCAGACGAACGGACGGACGGAAAGACGGCCAGAAAGCATAGACAGAGCAGGCCATGAGCTGAGATAGACAGTCAATCTTATGGCGAGAGACAGCCACGACGACGACGATGTTGCGGGCAGCATCATTAAATTCGTTTAAAGCATGGAACGGGCGAAAATATATATATGTATATGTATATATATATTTTTTTTGGCATAGGCCAGACCAAATGAAGCAGAGGCGGGCAGCAGCGAGCAGCAACAACGTCTACATCATCACGACTTTTGGGCTCTGGGTATCCACTTGTAATATATGCGCGTCTCAGAGCATGGCAACGTCTTTTAGCCCGCGGGCCGCTGCATTTTGCAGCTGCCGCATTTCATTGAACCTTCAACTTGACTTTGAGCCAAAAGCAAAAGCAACAGCAGACAGCAGGCCATAAAGCCATTGAGCATTTTTCAATTTGGCTATGCGAGGCGCGGGATCTTGGCTTTATCAGCCAAACAGCCAAACAGCCAACCAGCCAGCTAGTCAGCCGCATGGGGGCTCAAGTTCGAGATCATGACACTGATTCCCTGATTGTTTGGCCATAGCGAAATAAATATCAACTTTTTTGTTTTGCGCCAGCTGCTGTTGCTGCTGCTGCTGCTGCCTTGATTAGAGCAGACCCCTGGGGGAGTGTGAGTTTTCAACAGGCATGCAGATTGGCATAGCTTAATTAGACCGGCTGCCAAGCGAAACCAGGCCAGGCCAAGTTGGGGCACATAAAGCGCTCCAGCGGGCAAACAGTATAGCAACAGCCTACACATACATTCCAGCCTGGCTGCCAAAAAGAGGTCATCGATAGACACACACACAAACAGAATGTAATACATGGCCAAAAGGAGATTTAAGACAAGTCTTCTCTGTTGTCTGCATTTGTGGCGTGAGAAACTGAGCGCACAGAACGTGCATCGCCTCAAGGGTTCGAAACTTGGCTTATAATTTATGTCTGCACCGCAATTGTGTTTCGTACTAGCTAACTTAGTACTTGGTACTTGATATTTGGTATTTGGTACCTGGACATACCCTTGGCTGGTGCTCAAGGATGAGTGTGTCTGCAGGGAGCCGTCAAAATGATTAAACCTTTGCATTAGATGCCTGTGGCCAACATGCGCTGATTCAGCAGAGCATCGAAACGGTTCAGAAAGTCAATCACATATTGAAGCAAGTCCTGAAAGAACTGGACAAATTCTGGTAAAAAGTTGAAGGCAGCAAAAGTTAAAAAAGTAATTCGATTAATATTTTCTGGTGGAATTGATGAAAGACGACATTTGGTATAGTTGTTATATTTATTATATTTTTACGCGCTCACAATTCTTAGAAAATGTCCACAAGAAATAGTTCTCACGCTATATTAAGCCCAAAAAATATAAATACTTATTTCTGGATATTAAACAAGATTTATGTATCTACTTGAAAATATTTTTTGAGCTCAAAAGTTTGTTATATTGATTAGCAAATTAAAGAACACACAATTCTGTTACTTAAATAGTATTTTTATCAGTTATTATTATGACATTATTTTATAAATAAATTTATATTCTTGAAAAAAATTTTTCGTTCATGGTTAAAAAAATTGCTTAATAATACACAGGATTACATGTTTTCTTAAAACTCATTAATTAAATTAAAAAAAAAAATAAATAAATTAGTTTGCTATTATATAAAATGTTTATTTTTATATATACAAATAGTAATATAAATTTTATTAAATCAAAACTAGTTGTAAATAATTTAAAAAAATATAGAAAAATATTATAAATAATTTTTTTTTCTTCAGAAACATTTTTTATTGCAAGATATTTCACTAACAATAAAATAAATAGTTTTTATTATAATATAAATTTTAAAAAATACTTAATTTACAAATGAAAATATAATATATTGCTGGTTAAAGTATAACGACAATAATAACCACAATTACCACAATATAGACAGAGTTTGTGTTAGTCAGAGAACAAAGTGTATGAGTCAACCCACAAATAGCCACTGACAGCATCGATGGTGGTTTATTCTGTGGTTTCATGTAACAAAGAACATTTGTTCTCGACTTTTTTGTTGTTGTAATCAAATTTTATGTTTCGCTATTGCTCATAGAATTGTTTTTGTTGTTGTGCATTTGCATGGAAGTGGAGCATTGAAAATGCATTTGATTTTGGTCATTGACACGAATATGCCCAACTGAACCCTAATAAAAATTCGAATGCCATAAATCATCGACATAATCGATTGCAACAATCGATCTTAGGGGCCACACAGTCTCAAGCCCGATAGCTGCTAGTGCGTGTGTGTGTGCAGCACGATCTGAAAAGCAACTGTTAATTGTTGCACACAGTGAAAAGGGTGCAGTAGATACAGGGGCTCGCTTTTGGTCACGTGTCCAGCACAGCGGCGCGCACAGCTGTTGAGATAAGAGCCAAAGCAAACACTTGACGTTCAAGTATATTGGCTAACAAAGCGGCAAGCCCCCTCCTCAACCACCTCTGCCCACACCCACGTACCCATGCATGCAACACCAACACGCATACGCCCCATTGGACACACCTAATAAACTTGCATACATTTCTGACAGCCTCATTTGCACATTGACTGTTAAAAGACATTGTTATATGTGTTTAACTTGCCCATGTACTATTATTTGCTGTTATTTTACGATCTAACATTTATGTAAATGACACTTGAAAACATCTTGAAATTGCAAAATATGAAGAGCCTTAAAGATCTATCAAGAAAATCGGTTGCCTGAATGATTTATGGCTGACAAATAAAATTCAAATAATCATTTAAAAAAACTTATTATATGAAAAATATAAGTAAAAATATATATAAAAAATATTTATTTAATAAGACGCTTTAAATTTTAAAAAAAAAATTTTTTTAAATGATTTTTTGAATAATGTTTTTTTTTTTTATATTTTATATACTTTATATATATGTATATATATATATATATATATATATATATATATATATATATATATATATATATATATATGTATATATTTATATATATATATATAAATAAACATATATATATATATATAATTTAAAAAACTTTTCACTGTAAAATGTAGGCATAAAGCAATAAATAAGCAATTTATGGCCTTTCTCTGCTATTTTCATTAAGTCAAAAATGTCTAATTATTGATATATGATGGCCTAATTCGTGAACATTTCAACTTTTTAAATAGATAGAGTTAAGTTTTACTTAAACTTTTTCATGGAGAGCCAATTGGCCACGTGTGCCACCTACTAAACATGCCACAAACTCTTACTGACCAACTAAAATAATCAAGTATTAAATTTAAACTCGATCATAATACAATTAATTAAGACCTTGTTATCCAAATACTATATCCGACATACACATAATCCTGCTATCACTCAAATCCAAACACTCTGTGTCTCTTTCTCTCTCTCTCCCAATCTCTCGCCCGATATTTTAGATATCCGATTCCCAAAATATCTCACAGCCGAATGGCACACAGCACACACAGCGTAAGCAAATGGAGGTGCTGCGCACCGCCAATGGCGCCATGCAGGTGATACGCACACAGACAGTACAAAAGACATCATCCACATCCCGTTGGTCCACCTCCTCATCCACCACAACCACACAGCAGCACACCTCAACCAACGGCAGAGCGCCAATGGCGCTATGGGCGCCTAGGTCCACCCAAGGCGTTGACATTTGTGAGCTAAGCGAAGATGACGATAATGACGATGATGATGACAAACATCATGATAATGATGATGAGTATAGCATACATAATGGCAGCGACGCTGGCGTCGTCCACGAATGCACGACTCCATCGAATCCAAGCGCTGGCCACGGCCAGGAGCTGGTTGATGATCATGTTGATTTTGTTGTGATTAATGGCCAAGCGGACGTCGACGATGATGACGGAGACGACGACGGTCATTTGCACAAACTCGGCCACAATTTGTTACCCGATACTGCGCCAAGTTTGAAATTGAGCAATCTAATGGTAAGTTGTGCCTAACCGCCCGCCCACTCTACCTGCCACCTATCCATCAGACCCCAACATCCCGCTAAACAGAGACCCTATCTCTCCATGCCTGGCCAAGGCTCCACCAAATGCGGTAGTCGTCGTCGTTGTCGCCGCTTTGGGCCGTCATTTTTCATTCGCTTGCTTGGCGGCTCATTAGCATGCGGCGATGTTTGCTTTACGGCTTGTGTTTTGCTTCTGTTTTTCTATTTTTCTATTTTTTTTTCTTTTTTTTTTGCTTTCTGCTTCCTCTTTCTGTGCGATCCCGGCCATGGCAATGACCGAATATGGCGCTTAACGATCTGTTTTGGCTTGAGAAAAACTCGAGTAAAGGAAATCATGAAAACTTTTTACTCTTGTAATCATGATCTTTACATAAATAGCCAACAAAAAATGAAAAAGAAGTGATAAACGTGAAATGGAAAGGGTATATTTTATAAGTCGTCGGTAATCGCTAAGCAAAAAATCGTCTCATTTACAAATAAGGAAATAAGCATATATTTTTTATTGTATAGATAGTAGCAGGTGATTCGCCGAGAGCTAAAAAACATAACAACCAAATCATTTACATTTTCAATGGGTATAGGGTACGATAAGAATTCATAGTTATATAACAATGCGAAAATTGAGAGTAAAAATAATTTTTAAAAACAATTAATAAATCTTTAGCCAAATTCGAGCTTTAGAAATATTTCTTTCTAAAGCTCGAATTTGGCTAAAGATTTATTAATTGTTTTTAAAAATTATATTGCAGATGTCTGCACCTAAACGTACTCTGTGACAATTCAAGATTTATTTCCTTTGATATTAGAATTTCTATATATATATATAATTAATTCTGCATATGATAAAAAATTCCTAAGAATTTTTACATATTAACAAATTTGAATTTGTCTTGTTAAAAGCTAAATTAATATTGATAGACATTTTTCATTATATTTTATAAATATAGATATTAGCTTTCCAAACAGTAAGAGTAATTTAAAAAATTTTTTTTTTTAAATTCTCAAAAATATTTTATTTTTAAATTTAAAAAATATATGACAGACTTTGCATATTTTTAACCGAATTTTAAACCAAATATAGACAACAAGTAACACACATATGAAACACACATAGTTATATTCTTATAGACATGAAACAGCTCATACAGCATACAGTTAATAAAGAAAATATATACATATATAAAATGTGACATGGTAAGTTGTATATATATATCTAAGTCACATTTTTGACATATTCAGTTGGCAATTGGTTAGACGCCATAGATCATTAGATCATGCTCAGAGCCAGACGACCACGCTCCGAATGTGATTCAAATGAAATGAGAAGCCTGGCAACAAACGATTTTATTTTGAATAGCTAAACTCAATTAAGCATTTAGCACTTAAGCCAAATTTATTAACGGCAATCGAACCATTTTGGCCAGCAGACATTTGGGTCATGACTGCAAAGGAAATTCTTGGCAAAATGCGACGCGACGAATCGAATCGCGGCTTGGTCATTAGACGAACAGCAAAAAGTGTATAATTAAGTGAAAGGGGAAAAGAGAACAGACGAGACGAGACGAGACGATGCTCGAGCCAAGCACAACGCCCACAAGACATGGCCATGCCCATCAATCTTGACACGAAAATTTCTATCTTTCTATTGTAAATTATGGGGAATTCGTTAAGACGAAGGCAATGCGGACAAAGTGTGGGGAAAAAATTTTATTACTTAAAAATAAATGTAAAAATATATTTCGTATATGAAATATATTAATACTATTAATAATAATTAAATAAAAAATATTTTCACTATGCAAATGAAACAAAAGAACCCAAATGAAATGAATGAAATTAGTCAATAATTCATATTTCGGAAATCTCTTATAATTGCTTTCCCAACAACTTAATCTGCCCAAAACTGTATAAAAATTATTTTTCTATTTCTGTTTTTGTGGTATAACTAGTTAAAGACAAATAAAACGAGATTTGTACACCTTCTCAAAGTTATAATTGATTTTATATATGAAAGATTCTATATTCAAATTAATAATGTACACAAAAATATATAAAACTTGATTTTTCTTAAATATTTAATAGCTTCTGAAAACTTAATATATTCACACAAAAATGTTTCAATTTATATAATTTAAAAAGTTCCTGTTCAATTTGAATTCACACAATGCACTTTATTGCACTGCAGAAAAATGTAAAAATTTGTTGTATATTTAAATATTCATATTACTTAAAGATAACTCATAGAACTTCCAAAGAATAGATTTTTATATATTCTATATTTTATGCTTTACAGAGTAATTGAAAGTTGCGCATGTTAGTTGTCAAATTTTGCTTCAAAATTAACATATTCATAATTTTTGTATAATCAATGTTTGCTTTTCTCAGAATTAAGTTCAATTTCTGTAGATCTCAAAAGCGGTTCCTCCCATACAGCCCACGCTTCAATCAATTGTCAATCAGAGGCCATACGCCCAGCACTCGACTTAAGCGCTTATTATGCGGAAATCCATAAATTGCGTACATATTTTCAGCTTAAATGTACATTATTTTCTCAAGCAAGACTTCATTGTGATTCCTGTTTATTTACTTCTTTAAACTGCCATTAAAATAAGAAATATTTAAAATAAATATTTTTTTTAGTGTGACCTTATCTTTTGAATTAGGATGTCTTTAATTTTCTCGAATATACGAATTATTATGAGACAACGCTTATGCAGTTTTATGAATATTTATTGATGCCGAATTATATTTTTAAAATAATATTAAGTTTTAATATATTAGCAGATTAGTTATTTCCTGTTGCTCAGCTCTCTCTCTCTCAATCAGAAAAATCCCATTTATAAATATATCCACATGATTTATGTTTAGAAAATTGAGAACTTTCTGTTATTCTTTTACATTCGCTATAAAATATATTAAATGTATTAATAAATAAAAAAAGATATACTATGAAAACTCACATCATCTCATTATTTGACTATCAGCGTATTTCATTTTCATTTATTTGCTTAGCTCTCCAAGAGGCCCTGTCAATCAGAATCAATCATATTTTAAGAGCTTATAGTGCGGAAATCCACTTGTATAGTTTCTTTTAAGAACTTCCTTATGACACTCTGCCCCCCAGCACTGACTGCACTCAACTGTGCTAATGCGTCAAAATCTGTATTTTTTACTTTGTTTGTTTGTTCGCCATTTACAGAAAAGCAGTTCGAGTATTTCCAGCCAAAGCAGCAACAATTCAAATTTAACAACTGCAGCGGGTGGAGCGGGTGGAGCAGCTGGCAACAACACCCACAGAAATGCGGGCAAAATAAGCCTACATGCAATTGTTGGACAGACAGCCACAACAGCAGCAGCAACATCATCAACTTGGCCCCAGCGACTCGAGCAGGCTGACTTATATGGTCAGAGCAACAGCAACAACAGCCAAAAAAGTCGCGTGGGCGTTGCTGCTGACGTCGCGGCTGTGGCGACGCCAACGCTGCGTCGTGATTTGGAAAGTTTCCGGCATTATGACGATGACGATGCCACCTCCATCGATGAAGATTTGCGGTAAGTGCTGCCAAAGATTCAATTTGAAATTTTTCATTTTCAATTTGTGGCATTATTTGCTTACCTGCTTGCAGGCTCAGCGCACGGCATCAGCGTCGCCAACAGGTGTCACAATCCGTTTATGCACCTCCGTTGCCAGTTAGCAGCACCAGCTTTGGCAGCTTGCAGCGTTCCCGTTCCATATCCACGGATGATCTCAGCAACGATTGCTGGCAGCAGCAGACCGGCGAGGAGGAATTGCCCTGCGGCGATTGGCGACGCGTTAGCAAGCTCCGTCGTTCATTTCAATCGCAGGATTACCACAACAAAGCACAATCACGACCCAGGCCATTGCCATTGGATTTGCCGAGCAGTTCGGTAAGTGTAGCGCGCATCAGGGCGGAGCTGGAGAACGGACGCAGGCTAAATACGGCAATGCGCAACAATCACGTGGATCTGGCAGCTCTGGACAGCATACTAAACACAACAGCCGCATCAGTAGCAGCAGCAGTAACAGCTAACGCCGCAACAACTGCTGCAGCAAACGCATCCCCAGCTTCGAGCAAGCCGCAGTTGGCAAAACGTGAAACATTTCTGACTGCCGCCTCGCTGCAAGAGATACGCGGAAAATTGAAGAAGCTATCGGACGAGAGCCTGTACAAGGAGGATTTCGTGGCACATCACGCAGCCAACAGGCAGCAAGCCACAATCGAGGCGCCACCGCCGTCCGCTTTTCGTGCCGTTCACAATACGCACAGCCTGGAAACGCGTCAACGGCCAAAGGACAATAACTCTAGTGAATGGCATTTGCGTCGCAAGTCGTACGGCTTTGAGAAGATGTCACCGCCCGAAAATCGCAGCATTTTTCGTGTGGACGCCTCCACCGACAGCGGCTTAGGTCGTTCGGGTGAACAATTGGGCAACTGGTCGCCCACGGAGCGTACAGCAGCGGCTGCAGCAAATGGAGCCGGCTCTACAATTATACACTTTGGCCGACAGCAGCAGGTGGGCAAACCGGCAAATACCAGCGAAACGGAGCAGTTGAGCAAGCGTCATTCGATTGCCGTTGAGGAGACTTGGCGCGACATAAGGAAAACTTCACATGTAAGAAGAAGAAGAACTAAAACTGTTAAACTAATAAGAAAAATCGATAGTAAATACTTGTCTATGAAGCGATGTATCGAGTATATTGCATAATTGGAAACAGTTCTGTGCCCTTGGTAGACAAATGTAAGAACAACAACAACTCGGAGACTAATAAGAAACCTAGTTTAGCTAATGATTGTCTCGTTGCTGATATTTTTCGTCTTATATTTAAAGTTCGCTTTCGTCTTATATTTGAACATTAAATGAATCATAATTAAATTGCGTAAGCGCACATGCCAATCGATATATTTTAATTTCTTCGATACATCAGCAGTGTATTCACAGTCGACATAGCAAAAATACTTCACATTGTAAAGTTATCGATAAATTGTACAAAATGGAATCCATTTAAATTTCTTCGATAAGTCAACGTTTGCTTACGTTGACCCGCATTTTATATATATTCAAGCAAATTTATTGATTTTTATTTGCATTTGCAGGTGCATGTTAATGGCGATTCCATAAATGGCAGCAATAACAACAGCTCAAGTCAGCTGCAACGCAGCAGCGCACAGAAACGCGTTGAATTCTGTAAAACAGAAGTGCACTTTGCTGCCGAATCGGGCCGTGTTAATATTGTGGAAACTGATGGCAAACCGCCACCCACGCAAAACTTTCGTCGGCGTCGACGCACAGCCAGTGGACCGCTGCAGAGTCTGGTGAAATCGGCCAGCGTTAGCAGCACAACCAGCAGCAGCAGCAGCAGCAGCTCCAGCAACAATGTCACCCACTTTGGCGACGATCCCACAGTGCGAGCCAAAACCATTGCCTCCAGCACAGTAGCCTATCGCGCCACACTAATGGAGCCACCAGAGCTGGTCACCCAACCGGTGGCTGGCACACAGGTAACTGTCATAACGAAACCATTAGTGGAGCCACGCTACAGTTTGCTGGAGACAACAAGCTCCACGTCGAGGCATAGCTACACATCCACCAGCGGTGTGGATACAACCGACAATGAAACAGACGAACTGGCCAATATACGCGGCATATTGAAGAATAAGCCAGTCAAGCCGAAACCCTATCATTTGGGCGAGAATATAGAGAGCGCCGATGTGCTCTGGAGCGTTCCAGCGACCATGAAGAGTGAGAATCGTGAGAACAGTCCGCCAGCTCGTGATAATGGTGAGCATTAAGTCATTTACATACAGAGATTAAGCTTAAAGAACTAAAAGATTTCGAATTTTGTAAGACTTTGTTAAATTTCACGTATTCTGGTGGAAAATGCGAGTAAAGAAAATTAATTTGGCTTTGAAATTCCATTTGTTATATAAGAAAAATATAATATATATTAAAAATATAATATATAATATATATTAAAAATTTATAAATATTTCTGTATTTGGAATTCTACGGAACTTTTTCATAAAAATTAGGTAAACGGTTAAATGAATGTCGGGAATAGCTAGTATTCGAATAAAACAGGTTTACGTGTATTTAAAATCCCTTTAAAACAACACAGTAATACAAACTCAATCATACGCCTCAAGAAACACAATCGTATAAAGCTAATAATATAATTGAAAAATATATTTCTTATATATTTGCCCAACTATCTATTTGTATTAAGAACTATCCACCAATCTTTAAATGTTATATCTTAGCCAAGCGCTTAGATCAGTTGCCATAAATTAAATTTGAAAAAATCGATAAACATTCAAATTAGGCAAACATAAAAAGATTGTAATCTTAATTAAAAGACAAAAACAAAGATTGCAAATTGTACCAATTATCTTTATATATTATGAATATGTGCTATAAATAATCCAAAAAACTCTCAAAAAAAAAAACTTATCCAATCAGCTGAATTATAAGCCCAAACCTTAATTGAATTTCAACGTTTTTGCTGCCATCAATTAGTCAAACATATAAAGATTATAGTCTTAATTAAAGAACATTTTAACTAATTTTGAAAAGAAATTTTATGTATATAAAGTTTTATTATAAATCAGCCAAAAATCTCGAAAGATTTCTAATCATATGCTCAAAAATTGAATTAAATTTAATTAATTTTCAGATTTTAATCTAGGTTTAAAAAAGTGTATAATATTTGTGTAATATATCTTTAATTGATCTGATTCCAATTTCATTAACAGCAACTGGCGAATCACCAATAACCACCAAATCGGTAGCGGAACGAGTCCGCATCGTGGAGCAGAGGCAGCTCGAGAAGCAGCACCAGCAGCCATCGCCAGCAGGAAATGGCTATTCGACAAAGATCAATGTGAATCTGGGTGCCGAGGAGTGGACCGAAACAGGTTGGTATTTAGTTGAGGAAAAACGTTGATTAACTACGTATAGCCTAGCTGTTGCTGCTGTGCCTGTATTTTCTAGTATCTTGTGTTTTATTTTGTTTTGTCTATGCGGTTTTGTTGTAAACTCCTCTACTTGATTCTCAATTTGTTTAGTCTTGATATCGTAATGCATGTCTATATGTCGCTGCTTCTATTTCGCACTAAGCCAATTCTTAACTCACTACCTAACCTAAAAAACAAACAACAACAAATATATTTGCTAACCAGTGTTGGAAAGTATCAATTCATACACGAAAACTAATTTGACTCGACGATCAATCATGGCTGAATACTTAGGTTGTACTTAAAATAAAAATCAACTAGTTCAACTAAACTTTAATTAATATTGCAAACATTTTTATAACTTAATTAAATTACATATTGAACTTAAATTTATTAAATTAAATCTTTTAAAGGTTAATATTCAAAAAAGAAAATACTTAAATAATAACAATAAATATAAAAAATACATTTGTATAAAAATTAAAATAAAAATAGTTATTTTACTTAATAATATTTATGATTCAATTAATTGAATTTTATGAGATATAAAAGTACTTAGCTTTGTAATAATTTTTAAAAATTTAAAGAAGTTCAATTTTTTTCTTGTATTATTTATTTTAAAACTATATTAAACTTAAAGTTAATTTTTCTTATTTTTAACTTATTATTTTTATAATTAATTAATTATACTTTTAAATGTTTTAATAAATTTTAACAGTTTCGAAATAATTTATAGAAATGTAAAAATACTTTTTAAAATTATAAAACAAAATTTTTACATTTTCTTATTAGTTTCAAAAAATGTACCTTTTTTTTAATATATTTATATATATCCGAACAATTTAATTAAACAGCATAACTTAGATAACTATATTTTTGTATTTTTTATAGAGTTTATAAACTTTTTTTTAGTAATATTTTAGATTAAAAAAAGTTTTAAGTCATCTTAAGAAGACTTTGTTTTATTAACATAAAAAAAGTTAGTAAAATATAAATTATCTTAAAATATTATTAAATATTTAATTTTTCACTTTAATCTAATTCAATCAATAAATAAAATTGTCTACGCAATTTATAATAACAAATCAACTCTAATATTTAGTCATGATTATCGCAAAATTAATCCCTCCCAACACTGACTGCTAATCCAAGAGCAATTCATACATACAAAGAAAAAACCAAAAAGAAACACCAACAACATTTTTCTCGCACATTTCCCCAATGCAGGTCGTCGTCGCAGTAGTGCACAGGAGCTGCTGCTGCAGGACTTGCGCGCCCATCAGCGCATCCTGGACGAAGGTCTCAAGTCAACATCGTTGATAATGAAAACCATGCGATCGGCAAGTGAATTCGATGAGGCCATGCGTCGATTGAGCATAGCCTCGATCGAGTCCGCTTTGATACAGCCCACAATTGTGGTGCCGACGCCCATGCTGCGCTCGCATAGCTATCAGGAGGAGAGCAGTCGTCGCACCTCGACCACATCGATTACCAGCAGCGATTTATATGGCAGCACACTGTACGATTCACTGCCGCGTACGCCGCTGGCGCCGCCACGCCTAAAGCTGTTGGGCAATACGCAAATACCTGTGAGTCAACAGCTGACACAGCTGCGTAGACTTTATGATGCGGCCGATCAGGAGGAGGACAGCGCCGATGAGGAGGTCAAACGCTATTTCCGCGAGAACAACAATAACAACAGTGATAGCGGCGGCGGTACCCAGTGCAGTTCCTCGCCCGAGGATGTGGTGCCCAAGGGTATTGAATACTCGAGCAGCTGTAGCCGACTGAAGGCCAAGCGCACCATCTGGAAAATTGAGGCGCAAGAGCAAACGCTACAGCGCACAGGTAAAGGGGATGGCTCATTGCCGTGTTCAGGTAGAGGAGTTTACTTAGCGTCTAGGGCTCAGGCAGCTTAAAAAGCCTATAGCACCAATTTTAATATATTTTCTCTGTTCCCCTTGCAGATCTGCCCAAGTCGAATGTGATGAACATAGCATTGCATGCACCCCGGCTGCAGAAGCCGAAGCCCACACCGCCCACGCTGCGTATTGGGCAGCTTGTGCCGGTAGCCAAGCCCCGTACGCTGCTCGTACAGCCTCAGCCCCAAAAGCAGATGCAACCACAGCACGCGGACAATGGAGATGAGTCGGGCAGCGAATCTCTAAAGATTGTTCGCGAAGCGCGCGGCGCACGCAAGTTACGCGAGCATGAGCTCTCCTATTTTGGAGTACAACATTCGCCGACGCCCACGCAGACCAACAGCAAGTTGAATGCCACGCCCAGTAATCCACGACGCACGCTGCCCACGCGCAACAAACAGAGCCACGCTGAGGAGGCAACGAATGCACCAGCAATAGCAACAACAACAACCACAACCAAGTGGCAACTATTAAACGATCGACCCGATTTACTAAGGCACAGTCCACAGGCCAACGATGATTGCAACGTTTACGACAACGATGAACTAGAGGAGGAGGAGGAGGAGGCAGAGCAAGAGGAGGAACATTGCTATGAGAACATAGCTAACGAGTTGACCACGACATTTAGGGTCAAGTCGCCATCACCGGGCAGCTACGAGCGTAAAACCGATTTGCAACGCGATGCGCAGATACTAAGCGAGATGACACGCAACGCTGATCAGACAATGAAAGTGGGTTGCAGTTTTTCCATTTACTAACGCCATATATTGACCAAATTTATCCTATTTTCAAGGCCCTCTCCGATGAGGCTGCTTTCAAGGATCAGCGACGCCGTTCCTGCTCGCTGCAGCGGCGCAGCGCCATGCCTTTAGCCACCATCGACGAGAAGGTCAAGGCCGATGCCAAGGCATTAAGCGTCGCTCGCGGCACCTTCGCCTCAGAGGCACGACGCAATTCACGACAATCGACACCCTCGCCAACACGTGCACGCAGCTCGTCTCAGTCGTCGATTGAATGCTGTCCACGTGATCGTTCGCGCTCCAGTTCGCGTGAGTCGATGACCCAAGGAGGCGGCTCGTCGGATGAGCAATTGAGCAAACAGCGCGTAGAGCGCTTGCGCATGCGCACGCCCAAGCGTGAGAAGACACGCCATGAACCAACCGAACACCGTTCATCCAGGCAGAGCAGCAGCAGCAAGGTACGCAGCAGCTCCAGTGCGACGCCAGCTGAGAGCAAGCGTACACACCATCACAGTCGTCATCGTGAGAAGGAGCACGGCAGCGAACACTCGACCAAACATAGTTCAGGCTCGGCATCGGGCAGTCGACTGTTGCGCGCCATGCGTGTCACCGAAGAGAGTCGCCCACGCCTCAGCAGCTCACAGCGCACAAGTGAGCGAGAGAAAGAGCGTGAACGTAACCGCGGCTCTGAGAAGCACCGAGATGAGCTGACACGTTCGCGTGGTAAGTCCACAGTACGAGTGGAAAACCACATTTCCCACATGCGTTTTGCTTTATCATAATGTATTTGCTATATATGCATGTGTATCTATTGCAGAATTACTTGTTTTGGGCTTGCTCATAATGGGTGCCACACAGCCGATTCGGCTGAACAAACGCTTTAGGTTAGCCCGAGCCACCGCCAGTGGCAAACACAGCATCCAATACCAAAACTAAGCTGCACAAGCAATAGATCATAACTTGACGAAGTAGCTTAGATCAAGTGAAAACTCAAGGCTATTGCTAACTGTTGCTATTTCGACACACGTCCCCCTTCATACACCTAGATGCAGAACTGGGAATGAAAGTCAATTGAAAGTCAATTAGCTTAGCTTAAGAATAGCTTATTTATGTGAGAATTTTCATCAGTATAGATACTGAAAATGTTGAACTTTTGGAATATAAAAAGGAAACAATGAATAGAGAATACATTTATTTTAAAAAATATATGATTAATAATTACATAAATGAGTTTAGTTAGTGGCATATTTTTATATATAAAATAAATTAATTTATTTTATATTATACTTCTTTCTGTGCAAAATTTCCAATTTAAAAAAAATTAACTAAAAAATATTAATTACATATCAATTCAATTAAAAAAATTCAATAAAATACCTTACGCTTGTATTAATAATATGAAATATCAAAAATATTAATATAAATAATACAACTACAAATATGTGCATTGATTGATTTTTTTTATAATTTATAAACATTTTTTAAAGTCAAAAAGTGTGTAAGATATTTTAATATTATTTGAAGTTTATTTTAAATTTTGTTTTTTTTTTTTTAATGTATTTTACATAACCTTATTTCTGTAGATTATGTCAAATACATTAAAGAAAACTAAAAAATATTAAAAAAAAAGTTATACTATTTTTGACTTTAAAAATTGTTAAAAAATTAAAAGTAAAATCATGTGGACTTTTAAAAATATTGTGAAATTATAATATTTTATTTGCTTTATAAAAATATAGATTGAGTTTAGATTAGCTAGAAAATTGCTGACATTCAAAAATAGGTCTTTCCTTCCCAGTAGCAAACGTCAGTCAACAATGCATATATTAGCACAGATCCACATACACACACACACACCCACAATCAGTTAGTCTAAAACCGCAGCTAACAGTCTGTAGCTCAGTCAAGCTAAATTCTGATTATTCTAACGTTCATAGTTCTGCCCACTTGTAAATTGAATTGCTACTCATTTGATGCCCTTGCCATTCCACACAGGTCACTCCAGTCGCTCCAGACACAGTGAGCCGAGCGCAGCTGCTGTGCACAAGTCGAGCAAAAGCAGTCGCAGCAGCAACAATCATGACACAGCAATGTCCGCACACAGAAAGTCCACAACAGCAGCAGCCACAACTACAGCTAAAGCAATTGCAACAACAAAATCCACAACAGCGCACAAATCAACCACAGCAACAGCACCAGCAACAGCAGCAACATCAGCAACAGCTACGACACCAATCAGCACAACAACAACAACCACAACAACACCGCACAACGAACTGACGTACGTATACGTAACGAATTTAGCCAATACACAAACCGCCGAGGAAACCGACTATGCCAGCATCGATGATGATGTTGCAACGGCAACACCAACAGCAACAACAACAACAGTCAAGCACACAGAGCACCAATTGCCACTGCCATTGCCGCCACCGCGTCGCAAACGCAAACGTTCGCTATTGCCCGTGCCCATACGTTCCACAGCCACGCCCACTGTCGCCTACGAGCATCGCATTAAGCAGGAAATGATACCACAAGCGCCCAGCTACTCGAATCAATCGACATTGCGCTGCAAGCAGCCAGCGCGCAAATCATCGCTGAAATGCACACAATCGACCAGTTCGAGCTTTGCGTTTCTGCCCTATTTGCCAGCCAAGCGCAATTCGAACGTTAGCCATGTCTACGACAACTATTTGCTCTACGCAACGCCTGCCACTTTGACGGGCAGCAAACTTCGACCCTATCAACACAATTTGAGCAACGATCATGCCCAGCTTTTTGGTAGCAGTGGCCGTGGCGGCGGTATTGTTGGTGGCAATGGAAGTGGTCCGCTGGCTGGACGGCTGGGTAGCTGGCCGAAGCGTTTGCGCATGCGGCAGGTGCGCAGCAGCGTCTCAACGCACCAGCCCTTCGGCATCTGCACATGTTCATAGTCAGCGCTGGAGCAGGCCAAAAACCAAATAGCAAGTCGCACATGGATGGGCGCAAACCGGATCTCGTCACAATTAACAGACACTGACACAGTCGAAGTCGCAGTCAAAGTCACAGTTTTTCGCTCACGTTTAACAACCTTTGCACGCCAACAATATTTCTACCTTTATATATATTTATTTTTTGGGCATTCTTTGATATTTACCTCACGAAACGCAGCACGCAAATCACCACGAAATATTAAACAAATTATTTATCGAAATGAACGATTCGCAGTTATCTAACCTGTGTTCCTCCCCCATACTAATACTACTTAAAAATTCGAGCGGGCAACAGACAGTGTAAAAGGGATTGATACAGGGAGAGAGAGAGAGAGAGAGAGAGAGGGAGTGTAGGCCGAAGCGTCGGGTATTATATATTACTTTGGAGTACACTCGGCCTTGCACATATATAAAAATAAAACAAAAAAATTCCCGCACACACAAAACACACAATGAATGAACATGGTTCTGTTTTTACTTTTCACAGCGTAAGCGAAATTTTCAAAATTTTGAAACATTTTCTATTTATCTAGTTAAGCAAATGGTTGGCATGTTGTGATTGCATTAGGAACTTAGAAGCTAACCGGGAAAACTTTCTGTAGTTCTGTTGGACTAACTTTTCAAAACAAAATTAAAATAAACTAATATGACTCAATTCTTTCACGCTTTAACTCAATTTTATGATATGAAATATATATATATTTTTTATGTAGAATACTTCAAGAGGTCACAATAAAACAATGAATTTTTGAGTGTTATAAGAAAAAATTTTAAGAAAAATAGACTCATTTTTAAATCAGTCTAAAATTATATTAAACATTTTAGTGAAAGCAAAATTTAGTAAATCTAAAGAATTTTGAATCAAAAAAATTAAACAGAAAATATAATAACTTTGTTACACTTTGCAAAAAATTTTATTCAACAGCAGTTAACTACTATTTCTTAAAGATCTTCTGAAAAGTATTCTATATTGTAGCTTAACAAGATGTGTTTCCAATTTTAGAATATCTTCTAATCAAATACTAAACTGCATGAATCTAAAATAAAATATAGTTTATTAAAACTCTTAATTTTAAACTTAAATCTCAGCTCACACTTTAGTAGCACGCTCAAACCACACTTTTAGTATCAATTCTAAAACCTGACTATGAACATGTTGCTGGAAAATGAAAAAAAAAACAATCTATAAAAACTATCATCAAAGAAATTGGAAATGAACTACAAACAAATAAACATCAACATCGCTCGCTCTACTCTATTTTTTCTTATATACCAGACAAAAAACAAAAACAAAACAACACTAAACTGGAACTACGTAGTGGAAGTAGCACATTGGTATATACTCTATAAGAGGATACGTTGTATATGTATAAAAACAAGTAGCAAGCATATTAAACTTGAATATCAAAATCCATATTTAAATAACGTTAATATCAAGTTTTTTCTATCTTACTGCAGACACGGTAAAAGCACACTGAATGGACATCAGCATCACCATCATCAGCACCATCACCAGCACCAACACCAGCACCAGCAGCATAGTAGCAGCAAACACCACGGAGGACAGCCGCCACAGCATCATGTGCATAGCCTGACCACGACGACGATTGCGGCCACAAAGCATCAGCGGGATCGCCATGGCAAGGATAGAAAATAATTAGCAGTGGGAATACCCCGACAATCACCTTAAGCCCTAGCTGAATGAACGAAGCAACGAAAGAACAAATAAAATACTACTAAAAATATAATTAACTAATAATTAACTAACTGATTTATATGTATGCTTTTTTACAAGGCATTATGCGATGCCAATTTTATGTGAATAAATCTGGTAATTTTTGAAATTTTTCACGTTTTTACAAAAATTTCAAAAAATTACTGGCAATTGGCAAATGAATTTTACAAAATGACATAGAAATGTATTAACTAACTAACTTAACTATTCGATGCGTGCAATTTTCAAAAGCAGTTCCTTTCGCATTCATATACATATCCTTTTATATGTTTCTATAACTAAATAAACAACTGTAAACACATACAACTTTCGGCATAAGCACCAAAATTCAAGTATTAAACTATGCCACAATGTCCGCCTCCACCTCCGACACTCCTGACTACTTAAACTAACCCAGTCAAATACATGAAAAACTTAAAAAATCAATTCATATAAATATTAAAATAACAAATGATACTCATATATATTCTTTAATAGTTTTTAAGTTTTATAATTTGCCCATGCGACAATATATTTCATTTATACAATAATTTTAAAAAGCAAATTATTTCGCACACGAACAAAAACAAAATTAGCTTGTGTTTTTTGTAAAGTCTTTTTATACTACATTTCGATTTATTATTTTTTAAAATAAAAATAAATATTTTCAGAATGAAAATTGTGTTTATTTTTCAAATTAAATTTTAATTGTCCAGTTTATCTATTTTATTTTGCTGCATTATTTACTTTTATAACTTTTATAAGCTTAAGTCGTTTATTTACTTTGGAATTTTGAGAATTCATAATTTAAAATATTTACTTAGCTGAAAATCTGTTATTTATATATCATTTTTAAAGTAAATATTACGTATACGCACCGCACAGTCGTGCAAAGTATTATGCTATCACTTAGCGGGCTGAAAAGATTTGCACACATGCGTTGTTGCAGATCTGATAAGTTTAAATACTTTATATATATATATGTATTTATATATATATTTATATATATATATATATATATATATATATATATATATATATATATTTTTATAAAATTTATTATTAAATTGTACATTTTTAAGCATTGTATGTACAAAACTATTATAATCATTCATATCAAAGCCGATAAGAGCATATTTGTTACAAAAATTTGTAAATTATCAACTGTAGGATATTTCAAAGTCGACACAACACTTTCACAAAGCTTTTAATGCTACAGTTATAATTTTACCAAGTACGTCGACCATTCGTGCCAACGTTTTTTATCTTTTCGCCACTGCGACCATCTACATATGTAGGTAAACATATACATACGTCTGTACACAAGTATATATGTATATGTATATATGCTATGGCAGTATGTGGCATATAGATCTGTCTGGGTGTTGAAACGGCACACGTCAATGTTATTTTTAGTGTGTGAAGGCTGAAGGGGCCGCTCAGTTGTATTCGAAACGTCGTTACTTACGCCAGTTATACCGAGCTTTTTGCCGGCTGACAGAGAAGTGAGTAATTATATATATATATATCAACGTGTGTCGAGAAGTTCACCCAACGGAATAAACTACAAATATTACCATATATCACTAAGAAACCTAAAATAAAAAATGTGATTTCTGTCGCATCAGTTTTTATTGTATATATGTATGTATGTCTACGCAAAATATTTGGTGATTCATTAATTTGGCCGGCATGAGTCATCAATTTTATCAGTTAATTATCAATATTGCAAAATATAGAAAAATATATACAACATCGTTATACAAGACTATACCATCAATATCGCCAGTGAACTTATCTTTGAAGTGAAATTCTGCTCAGGTGTGCATTGCACTAATAAACCTCGATAAGGCATTAATACGTCTTACAGCGAAATGTTTTATGATACAGATTAATATATTTATAAATGGAGTGGTTTACATTTTGACAGGTGTATAAATATTTCAAATTATTTTTACATAAAAAATAAATTAAATTTTTGAATCCGGTTATATTATAAAGTTTGAAACAATATATTTGTACTAAAATAGTATTCAAAAATTAAAAAGTATATTTTAAATAAAATACAATTCCAATTTTAAGATATCTCAGGAGCAATTAGATACACAACTTCAATAGCTGAATGTTGTTCATATTTTATAAGCAACTGTGGGCGCTCAGAAAAATATTATTTATTTTGTAAACATATGCGAAATATTACACAGACGTTTCAAAATAAACAAAAGCAAAAACAAAATGAATGTAAAAATAAAGTAAACAATAAACAAAATATAACAAATAAAGAGCGAAAAAATTAATATGTTACAAAAAAATGACATATAAAAATAGTAACTAAAGTGGACTTCAGTGTGTATAATAAATATATTAATAAATATATATATATATATATATATATATATATATATATATATATATATATTTATATATTACTCTGCTTAATTAATATTTGCTTTGTTATTTTCTCTTAATATTGTGCATTCTGGCGTATACTTAATATAGAATAAACTATTTCTATGAGACTCAGGGCATACAAATGCATCAAAATAAATGTTAAATATATATAATATTTGCTTAGTTTATGTTGTTAAATGAAATATATGTAGCCTAATCTTATCGCACTCAAATTGGGTTTATCTTGTCTGAACGGCAGCAACAACAAAAGCCACTTGCTCGCTGACCACATTTGGCTTAAACAAAGTGTTTGCCATATCGTTTGCCGATAAGAAAACGCAATTTTTTTTCTATTTTTATGTGTATATATGATTAGAAAGAATGGAAAGAAAAAAATACTGCCTTTGGTTTCTTATTGTACGCCATTTATTAACGTTTTGTCTTCAATACGCGACGGTTGTGTTTTTGTTTTGTTTGCTTAATTATTGTAGTTATAACTAATAGACATTATTTTCTCCTGTTAACTGTTAAGCACTGTATTTACTTATTGTTTTCAGAGTGCTTAGAGAACTGCTAACATGTCGCTACTAACGGGCAGCGCAAATGCTGTGAAGTACACGCTATTTGGATTTAATCTGATCTTTTTGGTAAGTCACAGAACAAGCCATCAATTTTCTGACTCATCACACAATGCATTAGTTACAATATTATTTACATTGATTCAAAGTCCCACAGCAAATTAGTTCAACTATCTGAGATTGCATAGTATATACATATATGTATATATAAGAATTTATATACTGATTAGATAGACAGTGCTTAAGCGTAAAATAAAAAGAAAAAAAATATAAAATATAGCTAATGTCTAGGCAGCGCGCTAGCTTTAGTTATTTGAAGCAATAAAATATTAATTTTCTATTTTGTTTTTTATTTTTCTATTTTGCAAGTTGTGAAATTGCTTTTACACTCTTCAACATATATATTATATTCATATTTCTATTATTCACTTTTTATATCCGATAAGTTTAGACATTGATAAATGTTTGGTTCAAGTCATTAAGATAAAAAACATATTTTATCAAATAACTATTGCTATCTATTATTTATGAGTCAAAGTTTTGTAATTTTAACAAAGAAATCTATAAGTATAAAAACCTTTTTGTTTCTTGAGATAAAAATAATCAATTATAGGAAAGACAATTAAATTAAGTTATAAAATTTAAAAAAATATATATACATAATTTTGATTTTAATAATTTAAAAACAAATGTAATTTAATTATTATATATTTTTTTTTTACGTTCATTATATATGGATTGCAGAGACCTTTAAATAACACAGATACGTTCAGAATCTAGACAAATAAATTAAACAAAATTATGATGATAATTATTAATTAAATATGATTGTACAAAAATTAATATAATATATTTGAATTTATAATATTTAAAATATAATTTAACTTTTATTATTTATTTATTTATAATACCAAAAAGGTTCTCTTATCTAGAGCTGTCCTCTTGAACTAGCTACAACTCATCATTATTTAATTTATTACTATTATTTGAAATTTATAATGTATAAACATTAACATTTAATTCTTATTGACAGATCACTGGCATTATATTAATTGCAGTTGGTGCTGGCGTTGGCGCCGTTTACAACGGCTATGAGATATTTTTGGTCAGCAAATTCTTTTCGATACCAACATTTTTGATTGTGATCGGATCGTTTATCATTGTGATCACGTTCTTCGGCTGCTGGGGTGCTTTGAAGGAGAACTATTGCCTGATTCTCAGTTTCTCGGTAATGCTGTTCATCATCTTCATTTTGGAACTGGCAGCTGGCATCAGCGGCTATGTATTGCGCAACGATGCATATGATTTGATCAGGAACTCGCTAAACAATTCAATGAAGAGCTACTCAAATGAGACACAAAATCCAACCACGATTCTGTGGGACGATGTACAGCGCAACTTCGATTGCTGTGGCGTTGGTAATAGCACCGACTGGTCCTTACATCTAAAAGACAACGAATTGCCATTGTCGTGCTGCAGAATACCACCTGGTACCGTGGGCACCTTTAGCTGCATATCGGATATCAACAATATTAATCTGAACAAGAATCAGGGCTGCTTAACCGGCTTTTCCAATTATATAGCAGATCATGCAGTTAGTTTGGGTGCTGCTGGCGTTGTCATTGCCGTTATACAGGTGTGTTCACCGTACTCTGTATCTCTATCTGCATATACATTATAAAATTCTCATTGTTTTTGTTTGTTGTTTTTTTCTAGTTCTTTGGCGTCATCTTTGCCTGCTATATAGCACGAGAGATTAAAATACGCAATGGCATCACAGGCTTCATGTAGAGCAATGGGTTAATAGATGAACTCTATTATTTTAATGAAATTTCGTCAAATCTAAGCTTACGCTTAAGTTCAAGTTAATTCACCATTTGTTCTAGCTTTGCCGTGCCTTAATACAAAATATATTTGTAAACTTATAATTAGTTTTATTTTTATGAATAAATACAAATTTAGCTTTTACATTGGCCTCTTACGAAAATACAAATCTAATCGCCTTTTTCCTGGCAAAAGTAACGCAATCATTCAAATGGCGTCGCATGAAGTATCGAGTATGTATAACTTAATATAAATAAATATATATATATATATATATATTCTTGATAAGAAAAGTAAGTTCAATTAATCTCTCTATAACTGTCTAATGGACTAAATGGTTGAGCGATCAGCTGATTAATTGACTGAGTGAGTGAATAATTGACTAACTAATTGGCAGAGTGATTCACCGAATGATTGATACAGAGCGCAGTAATTATCCGGGCTGAGGTAGTCCTGCTATACGTGAGGATTCGCATCTTATGAACACACTTTGTCTTTCTTCGGCAAGTCCGCCTTTAAAACTTCACTGCATGCGCTATGACCAAACAAGGCTTCCGCCAGAATACTCTATTGTTGACCCCTAATTTACAGCTAAGCAACCATGCCTTGTTATGTTTAAGAAATATGGGATAAGAGATAAGGGATAATGGATAATGGATTATGTATAATGGATAATGGATAATGGATAATGGATAATGGATAATGGATAATGGATAATGGATAATGGATAATGGATAATGGATAATGGATAATGGATAATGGATAATGGATAATGGATAATGGATAATGGATAATGGATAATGGATAATGAATAATGGATAATGGATAATGGATAATGGATAATGGATAATGGACATTGGATAACGGATAACGGATAATGGATAATGAATAATGGATAATGGATAACGGATAATGGATAATTGATAATGGATAAGGGATAATGGATAATGGATAATGGATAATGGATAATGGATAATGGATAATAGATGATGGATAATGGATAATGGATAATGGATAATGGATAATGGATAATGGATAATGGATAATGGATAATGGATAAAGGATAATGGATAATGGATAATGGATAATGGATAATGGATAATGGATAATGGATAATGGATAATGGATAATGGATAATGGATAATGGATAATGGATAATGGATAATGGATAATGGATAATGGATAATGGATAATGGATAATGGATAATGGATAATGGATAATGGATAATGGATAATGGATAATGGATAATGGATAATGGATAATGGATAATGGATAATGGTTACTGGAAAATGAATAAAGGATAAGGCATGAGAGATAAGGAATACGAGATAAGGGATAAGGAATAGGGAATAAGGGATAAGGTTATTCTCAGTTTAAGCGTCATGAATTTGATTGGTCAGTTATATGTCGTTCGACTCCACCGATATCATACTTGATAGATGTCTTTTCCACTTAAGTTTCCCTCGTATAACACCGCCCTGAAGATACCTCTTCAGCTATGCTGCTGTATTTATGTATGCCAGCCGATATCCCGACCGTGGTACACCTGACCTTTGAGTGTGAGGCCCGTGAGCTGCGTCAATGTAACTTAGTCTAGCCGAACTAAAATTAGTCGGTTATGCGTTTGTGCCAATGAGATTTATAGCTATGACCAGTTCCCATACTTAAAAGTATATTTTGTGGTCTCTTATCGTTAAGCACCGTGTAGGAATTATCTTGTCTGGCTATGCTATTGCTTATAAGGCCTCGCTCAAAGCCTACTCCTCTCCTATGAGTCACTTCATAGGCATCCTGATTATACTCCTTTTGGATATTCTTGATTTTCGACTCTTACTGTTTCTTCTAAGTAATTTATAATTAAAATGTAAATTTCAGCTTAGCACAATCTAGGGAGACCTAGATACCCAATGCGAATCCCACTGCTACAGGTTAGGAGACATCTATAGAAGAAATACAATTGAAAGTTATTAAATCCACTGAGAGTAGAAAAGATCTAGCGAAAACAATTAAATTCAAAGCGTCTGACTTTGATAAGCTTAGCTTTTAGACCCGCTTGCAATATCAAGTGGGAATTTTTGTCCATTTCGTGTGTCAGAAGTTCCTATTTGATAACGCCTCTACCTCCACCATCTGACGTCAATTGGCGTTTGGAAGAATGATTAGAAACTATAAGCTGCGAAATACGAGGTTTCTTTATTGGGATAAGTGAAGAGCTTGGAAGGAGAAGGAAGGAGAAGTCTGTAGCAGAAAAAGAACTTAAAGTTGACGAATATATTCATACTATAGCAGATCAACAGAAAAAAATTGAGCTTAAAGATAAAGAATTGACTGCCAACCTTCAGTTGATTGAAACCAAGGATAAGCAATTTGCTCTTCAGCTTCAACTAATTGAAGCCAAGGATAAGCAATTGGCTCTTCAGATTGAATTACTTAAGTCCAAAGATAAGCAGGTGAATGTAAATCTGGAGTCAAAGGATAAGCAATTGGCTCTTCAGCTTCAGTTGACTGAAGCCAAAGATAAGCAATTGGCTTCTCAACTTCAGTTAATTGAAGTCAGGGATAAGGAATTGGCTCTTCAGACTGAGCTTATCAATAGCTACAAGGCTAAGAAGAATGAAATGGAGAATGAAAATGATAAGGAAATACTAAGACTTAAGACTTTGATAAAGGAGAAAGATCTTAGAATATCGGATCTTGAACTTAAAAGTACTGCAAATGGGGCGAAGATAAATGATCTACAAACGAAGCAAACAGAATATATGAAAATCTTAGAAGGATCTAACTGCCTAGGCAAATCGATCGCATCTATAATTAAGTTGCCACACATCGAGCCATTCCTCGTGCCCTGCGACTTCAAGATAGCGGGATCTGGTTGGATTGTGATTCAACGTAGGATGGATGGGACTGAAGACTTCAACAGAAACTGGGAGGAATACAAGGCAGGCTTTGGCGACTTGCAACATGAATATTTCATAGGATTGGAGAAGATGCATTTGCTTACGCAATCGCAGCCGCATGAATTGTATATTCAATTAGAGGACTTCAATAATGAAACCCGATATGCCCGATACAGCGATTTCCTTATTGGAAGCGAAGAAGAATCGTATAAGATAATAAAGGTTGGCGATTTTTCGGGAAATGCTGGAGATTCCCTTATTTACCATATAGGCATGAAATTTTCAACAAAAGATCGGGATAATGACAGAGCTAATAATAGCAGTGCGATTCTGTATAAATCTGGATGGTGGTTTAATAATTGCCGTTCCTGGTAAAAATAACACAAAAGTCTTTAATATTATACAGATTATTGAAATTTTGATCATTTCAGTAACTTAAACGAACTATATACAACTGAAGATGTTGGACTAAGGAGAAGGGGCATATCTTGGAATGAATGGCACTTAAATCCGATTAAGTTCGCACAAATGATGATCCGGGCAAAAGTTTTTTAAGATTTGAAATTATCATATAAAATTTTTTAAAAATAAAATTTTTAAAAATATTTTACTGTCTTAAATACATTTTTTTCACATCTTTCCAATTTTTTTCTACATTTTAATTTAATTTTCATTTATTATGATTGTTAAATTTGTTTTAAATCGATTAAAATGTTGATCCCAAAAAGTATGCAAGGCGAAGTGTTAAGAAAAGTTAATAATTTGAATAACTCTAGCTAGATTGCTAAAATAGAACTTAACGCTAAGTCCAAAAATAAAAATTGAATAAATATATTTGCCCAAGTACTTAGTCTAATTGTTGGACGACTGTCAAATATAATCTGTCTAGTTCGCATGCTTGACCACAGTCCGTGAATAATTGAAATGGTTTTGCGTGCAGTGCAATTTAAAAATCGATAAAGCATAGTAGTTGACTCATTTGGAACTTTCATATATTGTCGAATCGATAACACATGCTCCAGTCTACTAAAACCCAACAATGACCTTGCACTTGGGAAAACCTTATACGGTTCGGCTGGGTAATGTAAGGAAACACGGTAAGGACTCTTATACATACATAGAAAACAAAAAATCGAATATATAAAAAGCTGAACTATTTTCATATATTATTGCAAAACGTAATGAATTGAGGGTCAAATCTTATCGCTGGTTTTTATCTAGTACGTTGAGTAAAAAAAATGAACATGTATTGACTGATAAGAGGCGAAGAGAGCAAGAGAGACCGAACGAGTGTGTGTATGTGTGTGGGTGTGTGTATGTGTGTGGCTACTTGGCCAAGAGCCGAGAACCGTTTGGCGTTCGCAACTGGCAACGTTCCCGCACTGAAGCTCAGTCAACGTGTAGCCAGCAAAAGTTAAAGTACGTTTTGTGGGGGCGGAGAAAAACAAAAACAAAAAAAAAAAACAAATAAATTAAAATGAAAAAAAATAATAATAATTAAATACTTTTTATAATTAACAACTTGCAGCAAACAGCTTTAAAAAAAAAAAACAAAAACACGAGAAGCAAATCATATTGAATTCAACAAAATGGCGAATCGGGAGCTGGAATTAAATTCCGGAATGCGCTGCGCCAAATATATGCTCATCATAGTGAGCTTTATGTTTGCGGTAAGTTTTTCAAATCTTAAAAAAATAAGTAACAGTAATCTACATGATTCATAAGTTGAAAAGCGACGCCATTTTGATTTCGAATAGATATAATTGTATATATACCTATTTTGCTTGTACATAAATATAAATATATATATTTGTATCAAAGCTTTGATGATAACGCGATATTTCGCGCTTATCAGTAGTTGAGCAATTGTTTTGGTATTTGTGAATCTCATACATATGTAAAGCGTACTTTTGTATAAATGCTTGCTGCTTGAGAAGCGCAGAGAAGGGGCGCAAAGAGAGCAACGGTTCGGACGCGCCTATTTGTTTTCCAATAAAGATAACAGACGATTGTGATGACGTGTTCGGTTGAAACCATGAAACTAAATCAAAACCTATATTTGGAAATATTATATATGTTTTACTTGAGTTTGTCCCACATCTACTTCCAGTCTAAGGCTATGTTTGAAATGACATCTGAATATTTTATGCTCGCGACAAGATAATCAATATAAAACTTGAAAAGAGCGTTCGTAAGTGCGTATATTCCAAGGTTTTTTATTTTACTTTTTTTCACCTCATAATTATCTGACGCAAACAATAAAAACAGCTGCCAGACAGCGTTAAATATTACTTATTCTACTTAAGTACTTCTAAACTTTGAAGAGAATTTCAAAGGGAAGAAAAACCTGAAAGGTCGTTACTCAACGTTTGCTTCATTTCTTATCTATTTCTGTTTCCCTGTATCTATAATCAGTTGCTTACCTGATTTTTTTACGAAAAAACTATACATCAAATTGGTCGAAAGCATTTACTAAATGAAATATACTCACTTATCAGCTTTGCTGCTTTCCAACTATATTCAGACAAAATGTAAAAAAAAGTATAGTTTCTCCTTAATTATTTATTTACATATAAAAACAAATTGTAAAATTCAATAATTTAAAAATAAAAGAAATCGACAAAATACATAAAAAAGAAAATAAAATAACAAATGATTAGATATGTAAAAATTTAGATGCCAAATAAATCTGGAAGCTGAATGGAAAAGGAAATTTTGGAAAACCTAAAATTGTACATCCGATTTACAACAGAAAATATGTTTTTTGTTTTGTTTATGTAAAGGTAAAAAAATTATTATTATAAATCTTCAAAAAGTTGGAATTCTTTTACAAATTTCTTTAAGTTTTTATTAAAACAAAAATTTCAATATTTTATTGAATACATTTTTTGCAAACAAAAATTTAATTCAATATTTTTAACTTATAATAAATATTCAAAAATATTGTTAGAAATTTAATAAAAAAAAAATATGATAAAGTAATATTTTCACATCTGAATAAAAGGAAGGACAAATCGTTAATTAAATGCAAGCTTGAAGCTTCTAAATACTAGAAACTATTCAAGACGATGCAAAACAATATAATAGAAAAATCTGACACTGAACCCCAGCGTCGCCTAAACGTTATTTGACGTGCGATTGCTAACTGAATTTGTTAACTTAAAAATTTTTACTGTTTTTTCACTTGTATATGTTTCAATTATATATATATATAATGGTTTTTTTTTATTTATTTTTTTTTTTGTAACCCCTAGCTGACAGCTATATTGCTGATCATGGTTGGCACAACCATTCAGGCAATTTTTGGCGACTTTAGTCTCTTTATCGATGGACACTTCTCGTCGCCTCCCGCCCTCTTGATTGCCATTGGTTTCATCCTTATTGCCGTGGCCACCCTCGGTGCCTATGGAGCGGTCAAAGAGAGCGTTATGGTCATCAACCTGGTGAGTGGGCGCAGAGCTAATGAATGAGCACCGTCTTTTATAAAGCCATATCATATATATTTGACAGTATGGTGTTTGCCTGTTCCTCGTCTTCATACTGGAAGTGTCGGCGGCAATTGCCGCTTTTGTCATGCAATCGCAGGTTAAGGAAATGCTTTGGCGCACCATGACCGAGGCATTATCCATATACGAAAAGGACGCCAATGTGGCTGTCGGAGTGGACTTTATGCAATCTGGAGTAAGTATATTGACTCAACCATTTAATTAAATAAAAGAACTCAATTTAAGTCTTATTATATTTATATTTTATTTAATTACTAATATCTTAACATACAATATTTAAATTAATAATTCAAGTTTAGTTTACAGTTAAACCCATTTTTAAATGTAAAAATATTATTAAATATAATGAAGTCTTCTTGAGTTTCTGTACATCATTTTCAATAATTAAATTAACTAATCCAGAAGTTTAAATATCCTTGCAAATTTTACCCTAAAAAAATAATTATTACAATTAAAAATATATTTATTGAATATGATTCCATTTAATGTAAATGTTTAAAATAAGTTTTATTTGCAGCTATAATTTATTCAATATTTTTAAATTTGTCTTTTTTAGTTGGGCTGCTGCGGCGTTATCAGTCCTGATGACTGGAAGCAATACTATTCGCCCAACAAGAACATGAGCCATCTGGATTCGGATAATGTGGTGGTGCCAATTTCATGCTGCGGCAGCCTCGCCGAGGATCCCAACGACAACAACGAGGTGAACTGCTTGGAGCCCTACGAATATGGCTGCTTCAACAAGATGAATTTCATCATGTCGCAGAGCACAATGCTGATTGCCACGGGCGCAACAACTGTCGCCTTCGTCCAGCTGCTGGGCGTGCTCTGTGCCTTTATGCTGGCCAAGACATTGCGTCGCAACAAGTCGATACGCGAGGCACGCCGCTGGCAGCTGCAGCAAAGCCTGGGCGTCCTCATTTCCGGTGGCAAGGTGGGACTGCCAGCCAATTCGGCAATGAGCGGCTATCAGCAGCTGGAGAATAGCAACGATCTGGGCACCCACGAACCCTACACTTACACACCCCAGAGTCCCAGCGTCAACTGAGGCAACAGCAAGCAATTATATTAATAAAAATAACAACACTTAAATAATAATGTAAAAAAATATTTAATTTGTTAACTAAACGAAAGCCAAAGCCAAAGTCAAATAAAGCGAATCGGTTCTAGGACTGTTGTCGCAATTCTTTGTCCAAATTCTTAAGCAGCCGCAACTGCTCGACTATGCTGGCCGTCGACGTGCCACCGATTGCATCATACTGCTGCACATTGTAGCCATAGTCAGCCACGCTGGCTATGTCGGCTCCGAACGCTGAGCATATCTGCTGCAGCTCGCCCAGCGGCACCTCCGTAATGTCTACGCCACGTTGCTCTGCCAAGGCGACGACGCAGCCGATGTGATGATGTGCCTGCCGGAAGGGAATCCCTTTGCGCACCAGGTAGTAGGCCTGAAAGCAGAAGCAAAATGTAATTAATGTTTATTGATTGATTGACTGACTGAATAAAAAGTGTAAGCTTGAGATAAGATAAGGTAACTGTAAGATCTAGAACGAATCAAAGCTTAATAGACCTAAACTGCTTGAACTAGAGAGAAGAGAATATTTGCATTAGTAGGATTACAAGGAAAGATGCATCGCTAAATGGCCTGTTGCTTGATTGAAAGTCTGACTGACTGACTGATTGATGACCAGCGTTTATATAAATGTGAAAGCAATATGCAAGAAGCGGAGACAAACAACATTAAATAATTATGTAAAATTGACTGACTGATTGATGATGCATGTCAAGCTGAACTTTGGAGAGGTGGAAAAGAAAAAATTAAGATCAAAAGCGTGCAGATCGGATTGATCGATTGATAAAGCGTAGGCAGCAAGAGCGCAAGTAATTTCACCTTACAGAATATGTCTGAAGAGCAAAATGCTTAAGAATATTGTGTGAATGATTGACTGACTGACGGACTTGCTGATTGATGAACAACATTAAGAAAAACAAAAGAAAACTAAGCACTTAAATATTTGGATAGGAAACATTTGGAACATGTGGAAGAAAAATATATTTTCTTAAATGAATATGGATATAAATATGCATATCATTTGATTGTACGTATGTATTTATGTAACATATGTACGTCTGTCTATTTCGAATCTCTACTCACCCAGTCCGTGGCCAACATGTCTGAGCTGAGCGCCGATTCCATTTGATGTCGCTGCACTTGCATGGTTTCAACCACACCCACAGCGACATTTAAGCATTGCGTCAGCTTGTCGTAGGCCTGGAAGCAATATTGCTTGTCGAATTGCAGATCCTTATTATATGTGGAGGGTGTGCCCTTGATGGTCATCATGATGCCTGTCAGATTGGACGTGATTAGACCGGAGATGCCGCGTATTAGTTCCAGGCTATCTGGATTGCGTTTCTGTGGCATCAAACTGCTGCCACTGGAGAAACTGTCAGCGATTTTGATGAAATCAAATTCCTTAGTGCTATAGATAATGAGATCCTCGGCAAGTCGCGACAGATGCAGACTGACCATCGAACAGCAATAAATGAAATCAACTGAAAAGCAAGAGGGAGTCACATTGGAGATGATGCAGCCCGGTTTTTCACAGATCTAAGGTTATATTCTAGCTCGCACTCACCCACAAAGTCGCGATCGCCCACGGCATGCATGCTATTGCCCGTAACGCCAGCGAATCCTAGACGTTCGGCCAGCCACAGGCGATCGATGCCCAAAGGATTGCCTGCTAGGGCGCCACTGCCCAAGGGCAGGACATTCGATCGATCACGCAGCTCGGCGAGCCGCTGGCAGTCCTCGCGCAGGGCAAAGGCGTGCGCGAGCAGCCAATGCGAGAACTGAACGGGTTGGGCGCGCTGCAGGTGCGTATAGCCCGGCATCAGAATGCCCAAATGTGTTTCGGCCTGCTGGACAATTGCCTTGATCACCAGCCGGAGGCGGCCCAACGTTTCGCGTATGGCCTTGCGCAGCCAGAGCTTCATGTCGGTGACCACCTGATCGTTGCGACTGCGTCCCGTATGCAGACGCTGGCCCAGATCTCCGGTCAGCTGTACGAGCAGCCGTTCATTAACCGTGTGCACATCCTCGTCGCTCGCCTCGAACTTGATGAGACGTTCGATCCAATCGTAGCGTATTAGCTCCAAACTCTTGATCAACTTATCGCCCTCAACGGCATTCAAATGACCCGCACGCATCAATGCCTCCGCATACGCCTTGCTGGCATCCAGGTCGACCGCATAGAGTCGTGCATCGTGTGGCAGACTAATATTGAGCTCCTGCAGCGCCGCGTGCGGCTGCTCGCTGAAACGTCCACCCCACAGCTGATAGCAGTTGTCAGTCTCTTGCTTCGCTTGTGGCTTTTGCGTCATTTTATTTGTCTTGAATTGGGTTGCTTCACCTCTGACGATCACGCTCTGAATGCGAGCTGCATGTGTGGTACAATTCTATAAAAATATTAATAATTGTGTATATATTTTGAAATTATTGTGTTCGGTTAGGTTTTTTTCCTTTTCTCTTTATATAATCTTAGCGTTATCTTTGGAAATATGCGTTACTTTTCCATATGATTTTATGGCCGCTTGTTTAAGCGATAGAGTCAAAGTGATCCGTTGCCTGCACGGAAGAGAGCACTACAAGCACAGTGGTTGCAAATTAGTTGTTACATTTAGAAAATTCATTAGTTTTTGTTTTCGCACATTAAACGAAAATTTATGTAACAATTATTAATTTAAGTTATTAAAGATATTTTTACTAATTGTTTAAAAATTAAAATATTTTTTTTTTCATTTTTTCAATGAACATTCAACAATTATTTTTTGTTATATTTCAACAGTTTATCAAACTATACCATTTTTGTATTATTAAATGCAATGAATTTATCATTTTATTGCTAAATTTAAATTTAATTTATTTATATATATATATATATATATATATATATACATATATATATATATATATATATCATTATTAAATATAAAGTTTTTAAACTAATATTAATTTTATTTATTTATTTGTACACATTTATATTTTACAATATATTTGAAGCTTGTTAAAAACAATTACAAAGACGAAATACTTGATAAAATATTTGCAAAAAAAAAATAATTAATAATAATTATATTATATCGAATCTGAACCACTGTGTAGTTAGTATAAATAACACAACCATTTGACTTTAAGTGTAAAAAGGAGGGCAAAAAAATGCTTTTTTTTCTTTAGTTGTTTTTTTTTTTTTAATTTGTACTCTTGAATTAGTCTATAGACAAACAAAAACGAACAATTATTACTAACACAAATACGACGCCTTATCAACTATACAGACTCATAGCGCTTGAAGTGTAGCCTATGACGTGCAAGATTACAAATTTCGGATTTTGATAAGCATAACTCGTTGCTTTTCATTGTATTCTTGTTTTTCTTTCGTTGCTACGCACTAGAGATCCTCCAGAAAGAGTTTGTTTAGCTCGCAGCACAGACGGTGCAGTGGCAGGCCCATCACACAGTAGAAGTCACCATCGATGCGATGTATTAATGCTCCGCCAGGACCTTGCACCCCATAGGCGCCAGCCTTATCACTGTAGGTGAAAAGTTGAATCACAAATGAAGTGTCAAGTCTAGCAAGATTACAAGTACACTCTGTACTGCTCTGTCTCGCCTAGAGTGTAGGTCAGGTGAATGAGCGAATGAAGATGGAGAAGAAAGTGAGCAGTGAGCATAGCTCACATAACTAACTATTTGTGTATATATCTCTTATCTATCAATCAATTGATCGATTAGTTAATCAATATATCTAACTATCTTGATATCTGTGTCTATAAATATATTTTTCGATCTCTCTTTATATATCATTCCATTTTGTATCTCTACCAGGCGCCCATCCAGAGAAGACAGAAGTTAGATTAGGAATATATATAATGGCGTGTATGTATATGATTGTATGTTATATGTATTAGTATATATATAGATATGTATTTATATATATGTATATATATGTGCCGGCTTTTATGAATATTGGTTTGATAATGAAATCTAGCAGCATCAATGCATCTAGCTACAGTATCTATTAAAATTCTGTTTTTGCTGCTACTTACAGTGGATCACCGCTGTCCACATAGCTCTGGATCTGCTCCTCTGTCAGTTGGCCAAAGTACACGTCCGCCGTGTCCGTAAATTGACGAACGGCATTCGAATGTTTGAGGACGACGCCCGTAAAGACGCGATTGCAGGCGCCGGAGAGCCTGCAAGGGCAAACATGCAATCACTTAAAAGCGGATAAATGAATTAGGCAATACTTTGTCAGCATGCGCACAGCATCGTCCGCATCCTTGGGCTTTCCGAAGACCTCTTTGCCAAACGTAACCATCGTATCAGCCGCTATGACAATCAGTTGACGGCCATCGCCATGGCCCACCCTGCTCAACCGCTGAAAGACTTCCTCTGCCTTTCCCAAGGCAGTCGCCTCTATGTAGTCGGAGAAGTCTTTGAAGTCTGTCCTATTAAGATTCTCTTCAAATGTCGAAGGGCAGAGCTCCGCACTGAGACCCTAAAAATAATAAGCAAAAGCTTTACTTTCTGAACTTTTCAGTTAGAATTTGATGGACTTACCAGCATTTGTACTAGTTCCTGTCGACGTGGCGAGCCGCTTGCCAGAACTATTCGATAATTGTTTAACAAGTGTTTTATAGGCGCCAACATTATACAAATTTAATAATTTACAATTTATTAAGAAAAGACCGCGTAACACGAAAAACCCAAAACATGTGCAACACAATCGATTCGAGAGTTATCGATAAATACAAAAAAACTACTAAGTCATTTGTAGTGGCTAAAAAATGCTGAATGCTTAAAAAAGGTATAAATACATAAATTATTGATATCCATAATACATAACTATACTTTTAATAGGCTATTATTTTAATTTTATGAAATGCTTTAAATTGTAAATCAATATATATAATTTTAAATACCGCTTGTGTTCCGTACCTTATCATTGTTAGTAAGATTTTTGTTTGTTTTTTTAGCAGCATACCAGCTGCAATACCGCGTACATATCGAATGGCCACCACATTTCATCGGTCAAATGCAAGCGTCGCGAAACTCTTCGGCGGCGCGTTATAGTTTGCCAAAAACATTTTTGTTGTGCAATTGCTAAATGAAAAAACGAATACAAGTATAATTTTTACCGTTAGCCGCAGGCTGCTGCAACCATATATAAATTAGCTAACAAAGTTGCCTTGATATTAAGCAAAGCGCATAGAAACAAGAGCCAAAACATAATGAAGCAGCATGAATTTCGCTAGCATTCGTTTATGCACGTATGGATGTGTGGGTGTGTGTGTTGTGTATTGTAGTGTATGTGCCTAAATTAGCTTAGTGATATTTTTAATTGTTGCCATCGACATCGTCGACGCTGACGCCGACGTCTCTGCCCCATTGTCAAATTCAAATTTCCGCTGTGGCGACCGCATTCGCCAGTAGTTCACATTTACAGCTAAGCAGCCGCAGAGCTCGTGTCTACGTGCACACTTAACAGCAACAACGAAAACAGCCGAAAAAAAAATAAATAAATAAAACGGCAGCGTCGTCGTCGTCACCTTGAAGTGCCACTGTCGTAGTCACAAGGCGCACGCGAGCCCTCGCAGTCGGTTGTCGCCTATTCGCCGATTCGCCGTTTCCTAACCTATTCCGCCTCTGCGTCTCGCCCACAACAAAGTCCAAGTCTGGGGCAGACGCTGCTGCTGGGCCGTGTTGGTGTCAAGGTTGGTGATAGAAATTTGACCGAAAAAAATAAAACAACTATAAATATATGGGCAAAGAAATAGGTACAATTACATACATTAAAAACATGTTAACCGTTAGTTCTCTCCAATCGTGTTTTAATCTGCTGGTAAACACAATATTTATTTGTTTACTTATATCAGCATAATTTTTGTGTCTGTGCGAATTTTCAATTATTGCGTAAACAACGCAAAACAATGTAGAATTTTGCGTGTAATGCTCTAGAAGCGGGGGCTGCTTAAAAAGTTGCTAATAATAATGAAGCATGTAAATGCATGTAAATAGAGGCGAATTAGGCAAGAGAAATTTAATTACCCAAAGAAAAGAATTAATTACTTTAATTATTCTTTTTAAATATCTATACTTATTTTATATAATAAAAATTGTAACAGCTACATAATCAGTACATGAAAACTTATAGAACAGTCAAAAGGAGTATAAACTCCTTAAAAAGCCCTCGTTTAATTATGTTCATGACAAAGCCAAAACGGAAATGTTACATATATGATTGTTTATACACATATCCATGACAAAAAAACGAACAAAAATGAAATTACTAGTGAAAACCAGTAAATGAATACGCTTAATTACTAGTCCAGAAATATTCGTTGAAACGATGAAATGCTTAACTTGAGTAAACCAGAAATATACGGAATCTCCGTTATGTACACAATAAAAAAAAAGAAAAACACACTAGCTATAAACTGCTGTTCAAACTGTTAGCAGACATCTGAGCATTAGCGCTTGCAAAACTGTAATGCAATTCTGCTCTTACAAACCTCCACACAAAATAAGCTAATAACTCTTTATGTCTCTCTTGATCTCTTCCTCATTCTCTTTCTTTAGCACACATACTTATCACGTGTTTGCATTGACCACAATATTGTAGCTCAACATATTGTGCGCTCTCCCAACGAATAAGTTCGCCGCTCACGAAATTACTCTCACGCCATGTTCTCACTACAGCAACTGATCAAAGCGACAGCCACAGCGTCACCAGCTGGCAGTGGCGTAGGCGGCGCTGTTGATTTATACAAGTTCCTTAGGCAATTTAGCAGCAGCAGCAACAACAGTAGCGTCGTTGTGAGCGCACGCGGCGTGACGTCATCGTCAGTAGTAGTAGCAGCAGCTGAAGCTACAAATACAGCAATACAAAATCTATCTAGTCAAGAGTCGTCAAGCGAATTGAACTTCAGCGAGAACGTCAGTCACAATTCGCCTTCGTTAGCGCACGGTTGCTGTTCGAGCGAATCGAAATCGGAGTCGGCGCACTTTGTCAATTTATCAAAACAATTTGTACACAATATACTGCAGCAGCGCAGCCAGGACATACAGCGACAGCTACATACGCAGCGCAACGGAAATAACGCTAAATCCTCGCATCCGCAACAGCAGCACCAACAGCAACAGCAGACAACAACCAAATTTGCAATGTCTTCATTGGCAGCCGAACCTCTCCAAGCGGAAATCTCCACCAGCGATGGCAGCAGTCTAACAGCTGCCACGGCTGCACCTGGCGAAGGCGCCGCCTGTCACGATGCAGCCTCCAGTGCGGGAAAGAAGCCCTGCTTCAACACAGGCCTTGCCGACATACTGCAGTTCATGGAGCTCATTGGGAACCTGAAGGTGAGTGCAAAGCAAAGTAAATCAGAAAATGAAGCAGAAACTGGTTGGCAATGCAAGCAGTTCCTGCTGTGTCTTCATGCTTACGCATCGATTTTTCAACTACAGAAACTGATTATGCTGTTCTGATTTCTTCGTTCCCCTTCTCGTTCTCTCTCCCTATCTCTATCTTTCTCTCTCTGGCGTTCACTGTTTTTGTTTCAGTTTTGTTTATATTATTTTTTTTTTGTCGTTTTTATCGCCTACACGCTATCGCGTGACGCTGAGATTATTATATTTTTTTATTCCGTTTCGTAACGCGACTGCCAAATTTTAGGGTACCGAAGGGGACGTAACGGATTTTCAATGTCTGTCACAAGGTTTTATTGTTTTTGAAATTTTGAAGTTGCGACCGTGAAAGTTTTTCGTTTGAAAGTCGAATAAAAAAGCCAAAATTACCAGTAGAAGGAATTATTTATAAATGGTGTCTAAAGCTTCGAAAAAGCCTTTTAATTAATTAGTTAATTAGTCTGAGCAGGTTAATTAATTATGTTATTAATTACACTGATATTTCATTGTATATATTTATATATGTGTGTATATCAATATATATATATGAACATTTGATCACAAGTTTAGTTAACACAATTTGTGCTAAGTGAAAAATAATTTAACAAAAGTAACGCGAAAAGAAATGATAAATATATTATTCTAGATTTGACAGACAAGTATCACTCTATAGTGCTAAACTGCAAGGGGAATACCCACTAAATAAATATATATTACAATATTTTGACAGAAAACTGTGAAAAGCTTTTATTTTGGGAAAAGAATTTAAAAAATTTATATACATCTTTAGAAATCTACAATATACAAAGTCTTAAAAAATAAAAAATATATAAAATTTCATATATATACTTATAAACTTATTGGCAAAATTTCTTTTATAATATTTAATAATAAAAATAATGCAAAATACAAAATATAAAATATGAAACATAAAATTTATATAATATATAAATTATATATTAAAAATAAAGTTGAACTTGAATTTTAATTAAAATTTAGTTCGTCAATTTCTGTTTCTTATCCGATTTATCCTATTTGCCCGAAAATAAACAAAATTTGTTCTTGAGCAACAATTTGAAAAGCGAAAAAACTGCAAAAAATTAGTTTTCTGTTATTTTGTTTTCATATTTGTTTTTGTTGTTATTTGTTTGTGTATCTATGAGTAAACGCAATTTATATGTATATCTATATATATTGTATAATACCTGAGGCCATATTTCTCCCTCTCTGGGTACTCTTTATCTCACTCTCTGAAACATTATGTTGAATATTTAAATAGAATGTGTGTATAGATATGTATGTATATATATATATATATATATATATATATATATATATATATATATATATATATATATCTATCTATCTATCTATATATATAAATTAAAATATTTTTATGCATTCATTTTGTAGAATATAAACTATATAAAATGCAAGGCAATTTTACAATTGATCGATCACCGTACGAGTGTATCGATATCATGAAGATAAATACGCTTGTTTATATAGAAAGGGAGCCATACATTTTTAAATATATATTCAATTAAGGGCCTCGATTTACAACAATTAAATATTATTATGAGTGCCGCACGCGTTCAGTCGATAACCATTTCACTTTGTACCCACTGCCCCTTGTGCACACTCACGTTTATTTGCATTATCTAATCAGCATAATTGATAATTTCAATAAGACAAATGGGCTGCGGAAATATATGAAGTCTAATTTCTTTATCTATATGTTCGTGCGTAATTGGAAACATTCGAATAAGAAAACAATTCCCTAATCGAACTTTGTATTCTCTGTGAGACTGCTAAACAGATTCAGAAAATGGCTCACGTGAGCTAAGAAACGATATATATATATATATATATATATATATTACTTTTTGTTCGTATTTGAATTTCGTTGAAATTTTTGTGAAATAGCTGAGACAAACTGAATTTCATATATATGTATATTGACGTGAGAGTTAATAGAATATTTGCAAGGCAAATCGGCAAAAAAAATCACAAAGAAACTTAAATGTTCCCATCGTAAATTATATATACACAAAAATATATTTCTATATAGAAAGAGAAAATATATAGAGCGTAGAAAATGTTTAGAAGAAAATAGCAATAAGAAAATGCGAACTTGTGACTTTGATCTTGGCCTTCAAAATGTAGACGCAATAGACATCTTATGCCATATACCTACATTATATAAGCTATATTAATATATATATATATATATACATATATGTAAGCAGAGCTTTTGTACTCTAAGATTCGTTGTTTGAATTCCATTGCTCAAAAGTAGAAAGAATATTGGGTTACGTGTAATACAGATACATAATTCAAAGCTAATTTGAAGACTAGACTAGCAAAATACCCGGTAAAGCGAAATAAAAAAAATTTATTTATAGCAAATATACATATAACAATTAACTATGCATATATATAATATATAAAAAAATATAAATATAGAAAAAAATATTTAAAGAAGTCAATATATATTAAAAAAATTATACAAAATATAAAAACAAGACAATAATTAAAAATAAATCTAAAAAAGTTAAAATAAATCTAAAATTAAAAACAAGAAAATAAATGAAAATAAGCAATATAAAATGTAAAAAGTAAGAAATAACTTATAAAAAAAAATAAAAAATTTTAATATAAAAAAGTAAGAAATAAGAATTAAATTATAAATGTTTACAACAAAATAATAATATTTAATAACTGCATTTTAGAATAACAAAATTAATAATAGTAAATAAATGAATGGGATGTATATAAAATAATAATTTGTCGGTATTATTAATACAATAAAATGCTGCTTTCCTTTATTGGCAATATTTAATCGCACTCCTTCAAGCATTCATATATAATATATAAAACAGTAGATATCTGATATAACTTCCTCGACGTTTTTTCATCTTGGAATCATTTAAAAATATTAATGAAATATTTTGTCAAGATTTGAACTGCTTTTAATCAAGGCAAGTCAGGGAATGCTTTGTTTTGCATAGAATGTTTCAAGCACTTTGCCTAATTAAAAAGAATAAAAGAAAGTGAAAAAGAAGGAAATGAATAAGACAGAAAGAGAACGAGAGAGAGAGACAGACAGAGTGAGAGTGTGAGTGCGGTCGAGTGTGGCAACAAAGCCGGTGACATCGTCGTACAATGCCGTCATCCCCTGCCGCACAGACCTTCAACTTAAACCCATGTGGGGAGAGAGCGAGGTATAGGGGCTGCGGCTGTTGCTATTTGATCAATAAACAGTTTTATTTATAGAGAGCCAAGCGACAAACAAGGCCCAAAGATGTTGCCAACATTCCATTTAATTATAATAATTACAATGATCACATTTACCCAGCGACTTATCTCGAATGGGGTTTATCTAAAACTCAATGTGAAAGTCACGTTATGGCCAATGTGCGTTATCAACGAATATGATATAAGATAAGACGGATAATACAGACAAAAACTAGATTGACTAAATGAATATAGTTTTATGTTATTTGCTGTCTAATACTGAATTTGCTTTAATAAAATAGTGTTGGCAGCTGTCTGATAAAGAGATTAGTTAAAGCTTCTAATATGTAGTAGTTGAAAAGTTGGGGCTCACTATATATATATATATATATATATATATTAGATTTTGTAAATGGTGACTTTTAGGGCTTCAGAGCGTAGAGAAATCAATGGTTTCATATATATCTTAACATTCCCTTAATGTCTTTAAAGAAATAGAAAAAAATATACTAAAACAAATATAGGAAAATATTAATTTTGGCTTTATCAAGATTTTAGAAATAAAAAATATTTATAAATAGGCAAAATACTAACATTTTCATTTTTAGTGCTGTCTCTATATCTACAGAAATAGAAATAGAAAATATATAAATGATAATAATACAAAATATATTATATCTAGTTAATTTCCTAAATAAATAAATAAAACAAACCCTTCGATAAATACTTTAACATATCGTTAGATAACAGCCAAATGCTAAAGCTTATTTAGCATTGCTTCTCAGAGCACTATATAATATGGTAATGCAATCCGGATAGATTTCAAATACTTGATATCGCTGGCATTGTAAACAAGTTCCATGTTAAAATTCCTGACTAACACACTGTTAAACATTGGCTAAATAAACTCGAATTTTTATATCGTTCAGTTTGTTTAAATATGAATCTAATTCTGTCTATAGGTTACCATTCTCTCTTCATAAGACAGCCGAAAGTTGACTATTATAACGTTAAGAACTAAGTTCAGATTAACAAACATTTACTTTAACTTATTTGCTCTTCCTGTTCTGTGTCTATAGCACACCAAACGTACTGGCTGGGTATTGAGGGACGTGAACGACTGTGAATCGATCTCTGGACATATGTATCGGATGAGCATGTTGACCTTTTTGCTAGACGGCAGCGAAGGTCTGAATCAGATACGCTGCATGGAACTAGCTCTGGTCCACGATCTGGCCGAGAGCTTAGTGGGTGATATCACGCCCTTCTGTGGCGTCTCCAAGGAGGACAAACGTGTGCTCGAATTTAAGGCCATGGAGGATATATGCAAGCTGATCGAGCCGCGTGGCAAGCGCATTATGGAGCTTTTCGAGGTGAGACAATATAGATAACATTTAAACTAAAATCCAACTTATTCTTCATCTGCTTTTCTAGGAATATGAAAATGCACAGAGTGCTGAGTCCAAGTTTGTTAAGGATCTGGATCGTTTGGATATGGTGATGCAGGCGTTCGAGTACGAGAAACGTGACAATTGCCTGCTGAAGCATCAGGAGTTCTTCGATTCAACCGAGGGCAAATTTAATCATCCGTTTGTCAAGAAGCTGGTCAACGAGATCTATGAGCAGCGTCAGGTGCTGGCGAAGGCTAAAGGTGCCACGCCGCCACCAGCCATTGAAGTGCCTAACATGGCGGCAACGCCCACAAATTTGGCCAATGGGCGTGGCAGCTCAAGTTGAAAACGTTGCAAGGATGTGGGAGGAAGGAAAGGCCAATGCACTGTGACGCTCTAATTGTTTTTAAGTTTTGAGATTTAGGTTTAGCACATACTACTCACACACACACTCACATAGCAAATACCACAATACACACACACAACCACCTACTTTATAAGCAAATCCAACTAACAAAGATTGTTCAGCCTACCTCGACACGCTCATAGCTAGCATATATATACATAAATGTTTATGTACATATGCATATATGTTTGTAATTTTAATTTATTAAACATCTTTAAATTTGTAGCTAACTTGACACCATTTGTCACACACCTTAGTTCAATTTATGTTTAAATATTATAGAAAAAGCGTTAAAGCTTTAGCTAAATACTTGATTCAAAGAAAAATTAATAATTGTATATAAAAAGAAAATCAGCTTAAACAAATTGTAGCTAAAATTTACAACTTAACAACTCGAATCTTGTCTCGAGCATCAAAAGAAAACGCTTAAACTATTTTATTCAACAATTCAAATCTAATTTTTATTCATTTCCTAAATTTACTTTTCCTTGACAAACACTTGATGTACTATAACTATAAACTATATAAGAAAAAATTATAAGAATAATAAAAAAACAATAAGTTAAGTCATGCTACAAAACTGACAACAAAAAAACGAAAAATTATTGTTTACATTATATAAAATGAAGTAGTTACATGCTATACAAGCATAATGCTGGTGTACTTACACAGTGAGGGGGAATTGTGGATGCTAAGAGAGAGGATTTTTTATACTGCTTTATCGATGCCAGAGAGTGTATTGTGGATGCTAATTTACATGTACACTTGGTAAATGCGATTGGTCGAAATGTTTTTGATCCCGTTGTGTGGACACAAAAACTGAGAATTGTGGATGGGTATGCTCTCTTGGTTGTAGCTGTCCTTATACCCTGAACCCATTAAAAATGCGAAATTATTGTATAATGTTTTATTAAAATGCAGTGACAGACCCCATAAATATTTGTGAGCAGTTTGAAAAGCTCAGTCGATTTAGCCCTGTCCATCAATGTCTGTCCGCGTCGATCTCAGAATTTAAATAATCGGTAATTATTTCCATGTTATTGTTATCTTATTAAAAACATGATCAAAATGCAGTTATAAAATTATCCTGAGTATTGAGAGCTAGAGTCAATTTTTGTATTTAGTTTTATGTTTATTTGATACCATTTTGATTTTTTTATATATTGGTTACTGGCTTTAAATTTACTCAAATTATTTAAATTTAAGTTCAGTTTGGAATGGGACCAATATGTGAAGGGGTTTGCCTCTTTACTAAGCCGTTAAGTAAAAAAGAAGTTATAAAACAAACGTTTGGACAATTTGCGCCGACTCTTCTCTGAGAAGAACACAACCAGTGTGGATGTTGTGAGAGCGGAAGGTAATTTTTACGTCTGCAGGCACAGAGCGAGCTTTGTGGATGGTATTTCATCACGTAAGCAACACTGAGTGTAATGCTCTTAATTCTACACACACACTATATATGTGCGCTCTCTTAGCTGTCAATGCATTAGTGTAAATACGGGCTTCGCGTACTGTCCTATGTATGTATGTGTGTTGCGAGTGCTCAAAAGAGATTTGTTAAGCAATTTCATACATTAATAAAAAGAAAAAGCAAAAAATGTGTTTTTTTCATTGTTTAATTGCGCAATTGCTTAATATTTTACTTTAAGCAAGTCTAAGCTTCAGCACTTGTTCAACAAGCAGAGGGAGAGAAGAGAGAGATAGAGGCAGAGAAAGTGCGTGCTCATATGCGAGAAAATCACTTTGTTATACCCTTTCAAAGAGTATTATATATTTTATCAAGCAACTTGTAATACAGAAAAAATAATTAAAATGTGTGGTAAGAAAACATATATGATTAAAAAAAATCTATCCTGTGTATGAGTCTTAATGCGTTAGTTTAAGTAGAATAAAACCTTTTATATACATTTATATATATATATATATATTTTTTTTTTTTTTTAAATTATTGCTTACAAACTCAAAACTTTATTTATATAATTCACAATTACGAAACACATATAGCTGATGATATTTGTATGGCAGCCCGTAGAAGCCTTATTTGCCATATACTCTGAAAATGACGAATTAGAAATAAAATATGGTTTATTATGGATAATTATAAATATATTCCATATATACCTTCGATGACAATAAACTGATTGTCGCGCGATGATGTCTGATGCGAGTGTTGCACGTGCTTTTTGGCTTTATCTGAAAATGATTTAAATATATAAATATATATATATTCCATATTATATGCACATATATTTTTCGCTACTCACGATGTAATGTTATGCTGCGCTCTGTCTCGCCTAATGCATTCTTTGCAATGCATTTGTATTCGCCAAAATCGTGTTTCGTCAACGGCCGCAGCGTGATGCGCATCACAATCCGATGCACGTGACCAACGATCAGGGAATCGTAGCTGCCGCCCTGCAACAGTTCCTTATTTTTGAGCCAGAAATTTATGGAGGCCGGCTGCGATTCGGTAATGCACTCGAGCGTTAGCTTTTGACCCACGCCCACATAGATAGTATCGTAACGCGTCCAGATCGTCGGCGCAACTGTCCGGCAAATATCACGGATTTAGAGACTACTAAGATTCCAAATAACTAACATACTCACAATTAACCACCAGCATTATCCGCTTGCTGACCGTGGGGGGCACTCCGTTGGAGGCGATGCACAGATAGGCGCCCATATGGCCGCGTTGCAGCTGCCACAAGGTCAGATTTTGAGACTCCACGCTGTAGATCTCTTTCGGCTGTAATTCGTTGTCATTGTCATCTTCGCTCATCGCTGGCAGCAGCATTGGCATTGGCGTGTTCTCTTCTCGCCGCCAGGTGATCGTGGGCAACGGCACGCCCGTCGCTGTGCAGGTGAGCGTCACATTCTGACCGCTGGCACGCACCACATCCTGGCTGGTCTGGTAGTCAACGATGTCCGGCGGCACAACTACATCCAAATAACCCATTTGACTTTTCATCGGATCCGTATTGATCTGGCACATGTACCTTAACAGGAAAGGGGAAAGTAAGGCAAGAAGAGCAAAGGAAGTTAGAGATTTTATAGGCAACTCCTGTATAAATATTTAAATAATAAATATTATATATTAAATATTTATGATATTTTCTTATAGTAAAAGTTTTTCCATTTGACATCAAGCGCATTTTGTTGTTAAAAAAGTGAAGTGGTAAATAAATATTAAATATAAAAAATTATTATTATTCTGAAATAAATTTCCTTATCACCTGCAAAATGAATAATTGAATTTGAGAGAAGTGATTAAGGTTTAATATATAATAAAATATTTCCCATATATATATAGTATAATTTCTTTATATTTATTTACTAACCATCCACGATCCGATTCGTGGACATCGCGTATTCGCAGCTGCCAGATGCGATGTTCCGTGTGCGAGATGCCAATGCGATGATTTTTGGTAATAACGTGATTCTGTATGCTCAATATGGTTTGCGTGTCGACGCGTAGCCAGGCCACCTTATAGCTAACCAGATCGTGTACGATGCACGTGAGCAGCGCATCTCGTCCCACGGGCACCGTTACATTGTTTATGGGGCCACTAAATTTGGGATCCGCTGCCGAAAAGGGAGTAAAAAGTAACACCGACTTTAACAATTGCTCGACATTTACGATGTTAGCCCCCATTAGGGGTGTTAAATGGTGCTCGATTAACGGCGCTTAGCAAAGGTAGCGGTGCGAATTTTTGATGAGGCATACAAATGTCAAATTGTGATATTTTCCAAATGAATTTAATTGAATTGCATTAGGCAGGGAACTAAATGAAATAAAATTGAACTTAAATTTATTAAAATTATGCAATTAACTAAAATATAAAATAATAAACTTTATTTAATATTATTTAAAAATGCATAAAATAAAATTATTATGATTATTATGACATTGAATCTGTTTGAATATTTGGATTGCGATTTGATCATGGTAGAAACTCTTTCATTCAGGCCGATTTGTTGTTCGAGATTTTCAAGCTCAGCTGTTTTCCAAAAATTATTTATTTATTTAAAAATGTCATACACCATAGTGTATACATATTCTTGATCAGACAGCGAGCTGAGTCGGTGTAGCCATTTTTCGTTAACTCATGAGTGTTACATGTACTATATATCTTCTACAGGATATTAAATTAAATATATATAGAATGCTTCATTTTACATATTTTATTAAAAATTTAAATATTTGTTGATTTTTTTATTTTTTTAAATTTTCTTCAATATGTTTAAATATTTAAATCTTTTGTCTTATTTATTTATTATTATATTCATTTTATTATTATATTAATATTAAATTTTAAATTCGAAATATTCAAGATTTTTCTATTTTATATTATTTATAAATAAATCCAACTTATGTCCACTTTTTGTGCTCTAGTTCTGAAATTCACATTCATTTTCACAGCTTTTCATTTTTAATCCATAATTAGGCAAGATAATAATTATTTATTTTACATTTTTGCGAGTGTCTGCAAAATATCAAAAATCCCAAGGAGAAGGAAAATACTTTAAACTTTTCCAGATGCCCTTTGAGCTAAGCCAAATGATGTTCTTGTTGTTGTCTAAATTTTTTCTGTCACGCTCATAAATTTGATGTTGTGAACAGGCTGGCAAATAATCTAATAATTAGTGAAATTAGCTTTTAGGGTGACCCAAAATGACCTATATAGCCAAAAAAATGATAAGCTGCTCATAATTTGTGGTGCGGCGTGTTGAGATGGCGATGTGTCTGAATCATTGCTGAAAATTATATTATATTTTGTTTGTACAGCTGCTTATAATTATTTTTTTGTCATGACTAGGCCAAAAAGTGGCTAGAGCTAATCTGTAAGAGCTTTAAAGTATTTTAAAAATAATATTATTGTGTATTTTATTCGGAAATAATTTGACCTAAATTGTTGAGTTGTTTCAGTGGAACAAATTCTTTATTTTTTTTATATATTTGTAAATATTTGTAAAATAATAATTTTTGTAACACATATCCAATTACTTGCATTTAAAATGTATTTTTTTGATATGAGAGCATAGTCTAAAATTATTTTATAATATTTGTATATAATACGAACTTATGAATTTAATTATTTATGTGTTTATATATTTATATATTTAATTATTTTTATATATATATAAATTTTTATAATATTGAATAATTAAATTCAATAAAATAATTTTATTCATTAACCGTTTTTTATATAACTTTTTTTAATTATTATTTTTTATGTATTTTATTATATTTTATTAAAACCCATTTTAACTTTATTATACTTAAATATAATTAAATAAAAATGTAAATTGTATAACCTATTAGCTGATTGACAGCTCTATATTGTATTCCGTTGAATAACTAGACAAATAAATGACATTTGATTCTTGGAAACTAATTTTGATTGTTTGTAATGTAAAGTTGAGAGCGTCAACTTTATGCAACTTTGGCATCGCATTTGGGGCTAACTGATAATTTAAGGGTAGCCGAAACAACGAGCTCAACTCGTTAGAAGCGACAGCTTGAACACCCTTAAAACTGTGGCGTCGCCCTGCCGGCCATAACGGTAACCATCACGCCCCAAAAAAAAAAATGAATGGGGGGCCGTAAAAAATCACATCGCTTCGCCCTAACAAGTGCATGATTTTGCGGCTCGTCGACGCCTCACATAGCAAATACCTAAATTACAATTATGAGCAAATAATAACCCGAAAAAATTCAAAAAAAAACAACTGGTGGAGTCTGAGTGAGCGCGAAAGGGAGAGGGAGAGAGAGTGAGAATACCTGGAAAAAATGTAAAAATACGGCGCAACCTTTTTATTTGCCCATTTTGCAGAGTGTGCCTAAGTGTGTGTGTGTGTGTGCGTGCGAGTGTGTGTGTTGTCCAACTAGTTTCAAGGGAGCCTATGTACCATGCCATATATAGCCTATAATTTGCGATTATGTTTGGGTTCGCTGCAAACGTCGCCCATTGTTTGGAACGCTTCGGTTTGTGTTGTTATTGCAATTTGGCTATTGCATGTTTGCATATTGAAACATTCCAACGTCTAAACACTTTTTACCTTATGAACAACTAAGCTCACACACACACACACACTTGTCTGGCAAAGTTTGAGGGTAACTTCACGTCTGGTTGATTACTAAATGTTTTGTTGGTTTCGGCTTTTTAAGCCGAAAGCAAGAAAGCCAAAGACTTAAAAAGCAGCGGAATTAAATTTGTAAAAGTTTTTGCGCGAAATATATATATATATAATTTTATATAGTTTTCTAATCTAAGATTCAGGCATTTTATATTTCATAGCAGACCTTTATAGATTCTTTGGAAAGAGATGCTTTACTAAAAGTGTTAAACAGCCTTTTATTTCCTGACTATAAAACTATTTAGAAATAATGTATGTGAAAGGTATAATTATAACTATTATTTCATTTATTTATTTTTATATATTTTTATTTTAACTTTATTTTGTTTTTATTTATTTTTATTTATATTTATTTTATTTTAATTTTTTTCATATTTACTTGCAATTTATTTTATTTGTGCTTATTTTTTTCTTTTTATTTATTTATTTTTTTTTTCATTTTTTTATTTATTCTTTATTTGAGTATATAACCCAAGTATTTAGGTCTATACTCATTGAGAAAATCGTAAAATGTAATTTCAAGCATGAACATATTACTGACGTTCACCTCCTGACGGCTTCGAGTGGACTCAGGTGTTGTCAAAGATAAAATAAAGGCACTTCATTATTAAATACTGCTCTAAGTCTTGCTAGTACCTGTTAAAGCTGAATTTAACCGCATAACTGGCGGTAAAATAGCCAAAATGGCAATAAAATCTGTCGTAGACTGTTTAGATCTTTCGATTTTTTTATTTAATATTTGATATAGATATTGTTCACTCGTTTCTTTTTTTAAATAATAAATAATAATATTAAAATAACAGACTGAATTTTGGCGTAGAGCTTTGTTGAATCTGAAGCTGTAGCTAGGTATGAAATATCACATCAAACATTTAGGAAGCCAACATTGATTTTGCTTTAAACATTTGTGTCATAGTTATAAGAGTATCATAAGAGTAGGAGCCACACCTCTCCTGGAAAACAGTTTTTTAATATTTGAAAAATGTTTTAATATAAATTAAATCAACATTTACTTCAGATTCCGCTTCAGCAAGTCTTCAAATTCAAATTCTGGAACTCTAAATAATATTTTATATTTATCTTTGTCTAAGCTTGACATTCATGTTAAATTTGAAAACATAGCAGCTAGATCGGTTTTACTGTATATTGAAAGTGCCGAAACCATTTTCAGTTTCATTTTTGAGTTTTGAGTCTATTTACACGTTGTTGCAGTGCGATTTGTCAATGCCCAGGGGGATGGTGTGGATATGACAGCTGGCAGTGCCCCGGCAGGTTGCTAACAGTTGCAGACAACTAGTTGGTTGGCCAGGTTATGCTGACTGCACACCTCTCATACCGTTGAACTTGAAACGGAAAGTGAATGTCCTGTCTGTTAGACACTCCAACTGTCTGACATTTTGGTGAAATGCAGGCAAGGAAATCGCGTAACGAAATATGCCAGCACGCAATGTCTGCCAAAAACGCTGCAGTTGGTCCGACTTCTCTCTCTCTCGCTCAACAAAAAACTGAAGGGCGAAATAGAAAACTTCACCAAAGTGCCATAGGAAGTCGAATGAAAAAAGAGGAAAAAAAATAATGTCGCCTTTCCGCTTTGTTTGTGCCGTCTTCTCACTCTTATCGTGCGTCGGCGAGCTTGCCAATATTTTCCAGCTCTTGACACATTGATTTAAGCAACAATTTTTGATATGTTTATCAATATTTGCGGCCAACGTTAGTAAAATTGCATTGTTTTTCCTCTTTTTCTTCAACAATTTTCCCCTTTTTCTTTGCACATTTTTGATTTGGGTTGTAGTCCCAGCAAACGGAAGTCGCTCGTCGTTGCTCCGTCGCCGTCGCTCTGCCCCCTCTCGACATTATATGTTGGCCGCAGTTTATTCACTTAGGGGAACCGCTGAACTTCCGCTCGTTAGTACCGCTCGGCGGGCCTTTGCGCTTAGCTATTTTCGGCCAAGTTAAATGTACTCAATTAGCTAAACACCTCAAAATGCTAGAGATAGACTTGTTTATGCTTTTATATAGCCTGCACAGATAGTTATTTATATAGTGTTCTGGGCGTTGCGGCAAGATTTGATTGGTATTGAAGTTTTGCATTTTGAATTATAGTTTATGTTGGCTTTCAGTGAATGGAAATAAGGAGTAAACATAAGTTAAAAAATGCTATTCTAAACACTTTAAGTGGAGTATATAGAAAATATTTAAAAGTAATATAAATATAACTTTTTTTTTAAATTTATGCTTGCAGTTTATTGACTTATTGAAAAGTAAATTGTAAAATAAACTGACTCTCTCTCTCAATATCTCTCTATCGGCCTGTCTCATTCTCTGACTTCATCTCTTTCTATCGCTATCTCTGCTCATTTTTGGTCTTTCTCTCTATGTCTCTATCTCTCTTACTCTATAGCTGCTTCGCTGCTGCTCTCTCTATTGCTCATTTTATAACTTTATCTCTTTCTCTCTCTCTCTTTCTCTCACTTTGTATCTACAGCGCTCTCTGTTTCTCTCTGTCTCGTTTTCTGACTTCATATCATTTTCTATATTTCTCTCTGTCTCTATCTTGCTCTCTCTTTCTCTTTCACTCTCTCTGTCTCTATCTTTCTATCCATCTTTCTCTCTCTTCTTAATCATTCTCTTTTTGTCTCTCTCTTGTTCTTTATTTCGCTTCCTTAATCTCCGCCTTCCCATTTCGCTCCTTTATTCTACTTCAATCCTTCTCTATCTGTGTCTTTTGTTGCCTTTACATTATTCTCTAGGTTCTCAAGAACTCATATTACTCATATTAGTTAATAATTTCATGCATCAACACTAATAGACTTCGACTTTTAGTTATTGTTGTGACTATTCTTTATGTAAATAACTGAATTAGCAGAAAGAAAATTAAATATATTTTCTGTTATTGCTTTTACTTTAATTTAAAACAAATTAATATTAAAGTTATTTTGTCTATTTGGATCTCTCTTGAAATCATATTAAATGAAAGAATGTAAAGCTAGAAAAATACAAATCTAAAGCGAAACTTTAACTCCTGCTCAAATTTGATTTTAAAACATTTTTCTTTCAGCTGGTAAAATTATTTATAAATAATAGTGTAGTTAGCAGGCTGGTCAACTATAAAAAAATATAAATTATTTATTTATATAAATTTATATCTAAGATTAAAGTCAGTCTTCAGATTAAACTTCAACTTCAACTCACAATTATTCAGCTCTGAGAAAGTTGTGCTGCCTGGCCACACATTTTGCAGAATTAACAGGATATGAACGAGGACTTTTTTCATATTCCACGCTGTGGCTCACATTAACCGAACTGCAAACTTCAAGTGCAAACTCTAAAGTAAACTTTCTTTCGTTTTTTCTTTATCACTTTCACTGCCAAATGGCCAAAGAGTTTCCGCACTGCACTATCGTGGATTTATTTTTTCCGCCTTTCGCCAAAAAGTTGTCGCTTCCGGACGCGTCTGCACACAGTTACAACTCGCCGCGAACTGCGCGAAATGCCGCTGATAATCAAGTGTCAAAATTCATATTCAAAAATTCAAATACTGCCAGGCGCTGGCTGCGACTCCGACTCTGACTACGACTACGACTACGACTACGAGAACGACTCCGATTGCGAGTCACTGGCCATGGCGCTGCGCATGTGTCCTGCAGCCTGCCAAGTGGCGCCACAAACGTTGCTGCTTGCTGCTGCTGCTGCCCGAAGCCCGACGCCGGGCAGTCGCCAAGGTGTTGACGCCGGCTGTTGCTACTGCCACAGCGACTGCTACTACTGCCCCGGGGAGGCCAGCCAAAAGGTATAAAATAGTAAATGTTTCATTCATAAAGTGCATAGCGTAACATTTTCATATGCACGTGTCGCGATATACGTCGCTGTTGCTATTTGTGGCACGTGCACGTGCACTTTCCACTCAGATTGGGTATTTTCAATTAAAAACTCTGATCAAAGAGCTGTCAATCAAAAGTTAAATATGTTTAACTGACTAAAAGAAATCAAATTTAATATAACTAAACTGCGTAAAAAAAATATAAATAAAATAAATTGAATTTATTAAATTATAAAAAAAAGCCAAATAAAAATATTATAATTTAGTATATTATTTTACATTTTTATTATATTTATTCATGTTTGCTTATTAATTATTCAAGTTTATTTAAATAATTATATATAAATCAAGCTTTGTTTTGATTAACTATCTCTAAAGCAAATTTATTCTCTATCTACTCTATTAAGAAGTAGATTATAACAGTGTTATAAACAGAAAACTCGTCGAATTGCAATAGATGTCAAAATAGAAAAGTATGTTAACTAGATTTGAATGTAGCTTTTATCAAGAAATAGTATTAGATTCAAAGTCTAATCTTGTAATACTAAGTAAATATTACCAAAGCTATAAAATTTGCATACTACAACTGACGTTCTTTTCATATTCTCTTGAGTATATGAATGTTTACCATTTAATTTTTCTTTTCTTGTTATTTGCCTTTGGCAACCTTTGCCACCTGGCAAGAGTTTGCGGCCAACAATTTCTTTGGCAACTCTCCCTTTCGTTTAGACTGCAATCTTTGTCTAATTATGCCCAATATGCCACACATATTCGCTGCTGATTTTCCCTACATATCTTTTGTTTACGCATTGCTTTTACTTTTTTGCAATATTCGCACTTTTCTCCATTTCCACGTATGTGTGCCGTGTTGCGTCCTGCGAGCTGTGATTCTGCGCTAAGTATGCTTTATTATTTGCGCATAATTAGCGCTTTTCAATTTGGACCAAAGTCGAATTTGTTGAGACTTCCCCAGCGAAATCTTTTGATATTCTGCTTTTGCTGCATTATAAAAGTTTTCTTATGGGTTTTTTTCATTAGGCAAATTTTACCAAAGGCGAATATGGTTTCAGTTGAATAAATATTCAAAAGAAAATGTTTAAATTATGAACAATTATATAGTTACTATTTTTAACTTGTAAATAATTTATTAGGTCCTCATATTTAAATAAATTAATATAAATATTCTTGAAAAAAAAATTATTTCAATATTATTTAAATATATATTTAAAATATATATATTTTCTAATTAATAATGTTTTTTGTATATGTATTTCAAGTTAAATTTGATTGATTTTCAAGTTTTTCATACGGTTATAAGTATTTATATAAATATATATGTTAAAATGTACCTATTATAAATTTTAAAATACATAATTTTTACCAATATTATGTATATTTATAGAATCTTATTATTTCTGAATTGCAAATCTTTGCTTCGCCTATGGCTCTTATAACTAAAGTCTTATACATTTAGAAGAGGTGAAAGCTAGAATACTTATCATATGCACTCACCCAGTTGAACTTTTAAAAGCTTTCCCCTAAAACTTAAGCTTTAAGCTGTTTATCCAATTCACTAGTTAAGCATAATGCTTCTATGAAACTTGTGTTTTGACATAAATTAAATAAATATTATTCTAAAACTTAAATGTTAATTAGAAAAATTTAAAAATAATAATTATATAATATAATATATGCATTTTTTGATATTGTTTATAAATTTGATAAGGATTATTAGTAAATTGTGGTACTACTTTACATAATAAATTTTTTATTTTTAAATCAGGTTTCTCTTGGCGTTCGTTGAATCCACTTAATTGGCTTGGCTCCATGAATTATTCGCATTGCATTGATTTTAAGCAAAATTCCATTAAATAATTGAAACAAAATGCGAACACATGTGTGCGGTTATTTGCATTTTACAAAATTAATATAATTATATTGAAGCTTAATTTGGACAACAAAAACATTTAATTAAATCAATGCAATGTTCTCATTAGAGATTCAGGCCAAAAGCGAGTATCGCACACGAGCAGCCACTTGTAATAAGTAGTACGAAAATACTCGACTTTTGCAAATGTTTTTGTTGTTGTTGCTGTTTGTGTTTGTGTTTGCACAATAACAACAAAAGCAGTAGCAGTTACAACAATAATACTATAAACATTAATGCTTAAACACAGACAAATAAACATAAACATTTATGTCAATAAAATGAACTGATGCTTGACCTGCTAGGTCAGATAACATGTTCGTCTGGTTCAAGCGAAACGGCTGACAAAGCACACACCCCCCCACACACACACACACAGTGTAGACGTGCCAAAAAGCTGCTACATTTTAGTTAATTGCCAGTTCAAGCCCTGACCCGGCTCGTTCGTATCGTTTACAACGTCTTTTGTCGAACGCTCTCAAGCATCTAAATATTTTTCGTCAAAGGCTGCCGTCGCACGCACGACTAAACAGAATTGACCCCGTGTCCCGCACTCTCGCTCTGCTGCTACATGGTGTGCAGCAGGTGTTGACCGACTGCCATTTGGTTTGCCTGGTAATTGTTGGTGTAAATGCTGTACTAAACTGTTTCAACAGCTGCAGCTGCTGCTGCTGTTGCTGCGTCTATTGATCCGACTGCTACTGCTACGGCTTTTGGGCCTAATTGAGTTTGCATATGGTTTGCTTTGTACAATTAGATTAGCTGCTCAGAATTTTCTGTATGCCAGCTTTAATCCTTTCACTTCAACTGTGAGCTGTATCAATTCTAGCTCGAAATCTGCTTCAAGTTTATGTTTTCTTAATTTTATTTAATATAGTTTTTGTATCAAAACGAAATTAGTCTTTGTATAATATCATTCTTCTGTACTCAGTCTACTTATCATAGCTTCTCAGCTTATTCTACGTATTGACTTGATTTAGATTGTTGAATGAAGCAGGTGAACAATTTGTTTCCCTAATTATATTATAATAATAAAATATATATAGATTTGGCTCATTCTTCTACTTATATAATATATATAATATATATAATATATATAATATAATAATATATATTAATTAAACTAAAAAAAAATAACTTTAAAATTAGTTAAAAAAAAATAAAATAAATAAAAAAATTAATTTAAAACAAAAAATATTTTAAATTCAAATAAGAAGCAAAGATAATGCAAACAAATAATAAAATGAATAACAATTTCATTTAGTTCACACAACAATTTATTACTTTACTTTCACTCAGAACATCTGCCAAAAATCAACAATAATTCACATAAAATTCTTGCCTTTCTAACAGACATTTCCTAAGTATTTTCCTCATGTAAAAACAATGTAATAAAATATATTTAAGCCTTGTCATCGCTTGGTTTGGGACCTGTGGGATTTTGCAAAACGGCTCGCTTCATAGATTTGGAGAATGCAGTGCAATGCATACACGAAATAGAAGATATCAATAAATATTGAAATACTTATGAATCTAGGCAAATAATTCATGTTGTTGGCTGCCCCAGTAACCAGTTGCAAACTGCTTCCCCAAGCACCAAATGTGGCACATTTTTCATTTCAACACGAGCAATATTGCATTTTTAAATAGATGCGGCAAATGGCAAGGGGAAAGCGGGGAAGCGAGGAGAAGGGGAAAGAAAAATGGTTTTCACTAATAAATAAAAAGAGAGAAAATAATAAATATGCAACACACACAAAAGCAACAACAACGAGAGCAGAAAATATTTAAAAAAGCTTTTAAGTGTTATTGATAGTTGAGCGTTGAGTTCTCTAGCCTCTGCTCTGCCCGACTCTCCTGCTCCTGTTCCCCCACTCACTCGCACTCTTCACAGAGACCGTGTGGCACTCTCTCTCGCTCTGCACAAGTATTTTGTTTCATTTGCCTGGTTTTTGCAAACGCTTTTGTATTTCTTTCTTTCATTCCCTTTTTTGTGGATCTATGCGAAGCTGTTCCTTCGCGCTGCTTTTTGCCATGAAAGTGGCCAAGGGCGGGAGTTGGGGGGCCAGCGCTTCCGGTTATTTAAATGCTAACAAATACAAATTGTTGGGCGTTTGCCGGACAGCACTCAACAGTTGTTTGGTTCGGTTCGGTTCGCATCGGTTCGGTTCGAATTGTGCGGCATCGCTTTCCGCATTTTATCTTGTGCCAGAAACTGTTTTTGCATATTTGGGTTATATTTCAATTGTTTCTAGCGGTTGTGCCTTTCACCATTTCAAGTTGCTATGTTGAGCACTATCGATTGCGGGCTAAGATAGGGATTAGGACGATTTGCTGAGAGTTATTCTTGAAGGACTTTTCATTGATAATGATATAGATTGTGATAAGGAAATTAAATAAATCTAAAATCAAAATAAATTAAGTTTGGAAATATATATTATAACGAAATGTTTATTTCACAAGAGCTGCACAATTTTTTGATTAGCAAAATATATTTCATTTAAAAACTAAATATAATATTTTTTAG